TTAGTAAAGCAGTCTGAATTTGTAACATTTTAGCATGGAGTCAACAGTGAAGACTACCAGATAATTTTGTGTTGGAGAAGAGGAAAGTAACAGCTAAATTGTGGATTTCAGTGCTTTATATGGTGCCTTTAGGGTCAGCTTTTACATTACAGGGGCTTGTTATAGTTCAGCTAAGATGACCACTTAACAGTTTATACAGAACTCATATGTATAAACCAACATTCTTAGGATATTATTTATATCCTTTGAATAAATCCCTGTGAAATTTTTCCACCCCACTAAAATGGTGCATATTAAAACATGAAATGTGTAGTATGCAGATATCATTTATTAGATAGTTTGTAGTGTATACATTTAGAACATACTTCTTTTGACAAAGGGTGAACTGATTGCTAATTTACCATTTTATTCTGTCAGGTACAGGTGAAACAAATTCTCGAATGATCAGATGCAAAATTATTTCTGAACCCTAGAGCAGAAGTTAGAAATAATAAAATGACTGTTTCAATCTTGACTGGCCAAAAATAACTAATAGGCTTTTTTAAGTCAAGCAAGTGATTTTCTACACTTAGCAGTTTGAAAGTCCAGTGTTAATGAATATTTCCAGTGAGAAATGATTGTTATTAAAAGCATGGGAGTGAAATAGTATGAAATGTTGGTGGCAAGTGCTTCTTTCATATTACTGTAGGTACTTGGACTGGTGCAAACTTGATTCCTTTTCATGCCCCTGTTAAGGAGATATTAAAATATAACTTAAAAATTTAAACCATTTTTGTTCCATGTAATAAGAAAATAGCCAAACTGACTTTAGAGCTTCTCAACTATTTATAAAGAGATCTGCTTTTATTGAAATTCACTAGAGTTGAATGTGGTCAGAAGCCACTTAGCCTATGTATTGGATGAGAAAATCAGTATCATAAAATTTCAAATTAAGAATTCTTGTAGGGTTTTAAAAATGATTTATTTTCAATTAGGCTTAAGAAATCTATGTTATGCAGGGAGGAATATCAGATGAATGTCTTGTAGCAGAAGTTTTAAATCGTGTTAGACTTGAATTCATCAATTGTTTGAATGAGGGTGGGTGGGTAGAAGGATAACAAAATTACTTAGTGTTTCTTAAGGAAAAAGATGTGAATCCCAGCCTTATTTCAGGGAAGCCTTTGAAGCTATGATGGACATAAGTCTAAATTAAATGTATGTATGTTTCATTATATTGCTCTTAAGACTACTGAGGTGGCAGTTTAATTCTTAAAAACAATAAAATGGAAGCATAAATACTATTTTGCCTAGATGAATTTTTATGTATTGGCACATTTGGGAGAATGCAGAATTTTCCATATTTATGTTGAAACAACTTTCTACAGTAAAATTACGTTCACTTCTAAAAGATTAAAACCAGAAGTTGAATGGTATATTTCTTCAGTTGCACGTTTATTCAGAGTGTAATATAGTATTTGGGGCAAGATCTGTTGCAAAGACTATGAGAAGCTGTATTCATTTTGCCCTGTAAAAACTACTTGCTCAAAATCATTGTGTAAATACTAATTTGATACCACTGAAATGTAAATGGAAGAGCTATTTGAACATATCTTTTAAACTCACAAGAGGCTATTGGCTTCATGAAGTATACAGAACTGCCGTAAGGCTTTCTTCTGACTAATTGGAAGATTATTGTTTGTAATCTTTGTGGGAAAACTCTACAGTTCCATCTTTCATAAATTTTTTGAAAATGCCCCATATTATGAGTATGTGAAAAAAGTGCATGAGTACTCAAAGATATTTCTTCATTAGATTAGCTGTCAAATTAGTATGTTGATGTTAAACATGCTAATATACTATATTCTGATTGAAGTGGTCTTACTCTTCTTCACTGGTTTGTAATTTGCTAAATTATGGCCTAGAAACCAATCAGTCTACTTAATACAGTATATGCAAATCTAGTAAAGCAATATCAGATATACTAGGCTTAACGGGAAGTAGGTAAAATACTTGGTAGTGATGCTAATAAAACCTAATTCGGAATTTTAAACATGTTTTGATTCATGTCCCTTCAGTTTTCCATCATTGAGGGGAAAAGTTTTAAGGCAGAATTCTGAACACTTTAGTGCTTAATTTTCCCACATCCCTATCTTTAAAAATTTTGAAATTTTTGGCACTGTAGAATCATGGGATTGAAACGAACAAGAAGTCATGAGTTTAGTTCTCACAATTGGGTAGGACCTCTTTTAAAAAAAATCTATTCACTAAAAGATGTTAAAACCTTTTTTTTGGTAAGAGGATTATTCTGGCTGTAGGATAAGAAAAGACCAAGGAGGCTAAGATGGAAGCAGAGGGAGTAGTCAGAAGGGTGTTTTAATAATTTGCACACAAGATGATGGTGACAACATTACCAGGTATCAGGAAGTGGGAAGTGGGTGACTTGTGGAAGGATATACATATATATGAAGTATTGATTTATAAAAGTAAACACCTATTAAATATGTTAGATGTGGGTATATGATAGTGAACAAAGTAGATATGGTCTCTGCCCTTGAGAAGTTTACGTTCTAACTTACCTAGGAATTGGTCTTGACAGGCTTTAACTTTTCTTCAAACATTGTCCTTATATTCAAAGTATAGTGTCCAGGAAATAAATCGTAATGTTTAAAAATACAAAATACATACAAAACCATGAGAGAAATGTATTTGATTCTGAACATTAATACTTCCTAGCAGCTTTTCTGGATATAATTGTACAATGCTAAATTAGTGACTTTGAAACAAATCTGTGGAATGCACCTATTTATTCCTGAGTTTAGTACTACCTTGTAAGAGATCAGTTTTTAGTTAGATCATTTTTTTTAGTTCTTAATTCCTTTTGGGAGGTAATGTTTTCTAATAATTAAAAGCCTGGGTTGTATAGGGTTAGACTATCAAGACAGATTTCTGGCTTTACCACCTGTAACTATGTAATTTAGACTAGTTACTTGCTCTCTTTGAGTCTTCATTTACTTTGCTTTTTTAAAAAGTAGGGCTAATCATAATACCTACATTATTAGGGCTGTTTTGAGAGTTTGGTGACTGTATATTTTAAAAGGAGAGTCAATAGGATTTCCTGGTGGATTTTTTGGCTCGATCAGCTTAAGAAAAACGGAGTTGTCATTAACTGAGATAGAAAAGATGCTGGTAGAGCAGATTAGGGAAAGAAGATTAGTAGATCAGCCTTGACACGTTAAAATCCAGATGAAGATGTTAGAAACACGAATTAAATATCCCTCATATTGTGGTTCATGCAGTGTAAGGTCAGCCATTTAAAATATTTCATTTACATTTCTAAGTAGTAAGTTCCTGTGTTTAGACAAAATTGTGTATCAAATGCTTAAATAATGTATAAAATGATTTTAAAGATAAACTGCTCAACATGTATTACTTTCACCCTTTCTTAATTTCCGAAATATATTTGTGTCTTCCCAAGTTGCATCCTCTCCTTCAGTCTTGCTCTGTTTTTTATAAGTTTATTTTTATCTTGTAACATGGTCTCTTGACCTCTTCCTAAATTGGGGAGCAGGTTTTGGTACTAGTCAATTTCCATTATTTGCTCTGAGGCAGGCAAGTAGCTCAGCCCCATGTATTCCCATTACTCAAAGTATACCCAGCCTTAGTGGCCTACAGGAAAAAAACATTTAAGGTAAAGGATCAGTGAACCTCTAAGGTGTTAAGGTTGAATGTACTGTGATGTGGGCACAATAATTGGAGTGCTTGTGCTTGTTTCTTGAGGGGTTTTTTTTTTTGTGTGTGTGTGTGCTTGGCAAGAAGAGTGCAAAGGGCACCTTTGGGAAGATGGAGACCTCAGTGACAATCCTATATGAAGCATTTGCCTCACCTTCAAGGCAAACGATCAAGTAAATAGGCTCCTGTTTACAATTTCTACTTCCTGCCCTCTTTAGAGGAAAAGTTCTTAACCCACGATCTGCGGGCATTTTATATGTAAATTGTGTGTGTGTGTGTGTGTGTGTGTGTGTGTGTGTGTGTGTGTGTGTATTTTTTTCCCCAAAGTCCATAGGGTGTATGAGACTCTATTAGGTCCCCATGACTCAAAACGTTTAAGAAACACAGTTATAAAGAGTGCTGTGGCCGGGTACAGTGACCCACACCTGTAATGTCAACACTTTCGGAGTCTGAGGCAGGAGGATTGCTTGAGGCCAGGAGTTCGAGACAGCCTGGGCAACATAGAGCCGGTCTTTACAAAAAATTGGAAAATAAAAGAGTGCTGATATTCTACGTTTAAGATTGGCTATGTAAATAACGTTTGTTTTACCTTTGCGTATGTAGTTCTAAGTCCAGTAGACAAGCCCTCTCAATGACACTAACAAAGTGGAAAGGTACTTTGACAACAATGTTCAAAGGTAAGAGCTAAAACAACTGGGACAGCTTTTCCCATTGACAAGGTGGTTTGATGTTTAACTGAGGGTATTGAGTATTTTTCTGTTGGTTCTGATGTTTAATTTCTACCTGTTACATAAATAAATACAAATTTGCACCAAGAGCCATGCCAGTGGAAAATGAGAAGCAAGTGTGCTGAGTCTCCTCCTCCAGATAAATTGAGCTCTGCAGCTGTTATTCTGCCCTATCTGTTACAAATAATAACAAGCAGTGAAAAAAGAAAAGGGTAATACTTCTTCCTGCTATCTCTTTTACTTCTTCCCACTGAGACCAGGAAGAACTGGCTGCCCATCTTTTCACCTTCCTTGCATTCTCATTTTTTAAGCTTGTATAGTTTTCATACTACATCTGTATAGTTACAGATATCACGTTAGAAGGATTGTGTTTAAAATTTGGATAGGAGGTGGTACGCTTTAAGAAAACTGGAGTAGTAGTAAAATCTGAGCAAAGAAACCTCATTACAGGGGTTCTGTTAGAAGAGTCTCATGAAGCAGGTTTCCAGCCAGACAACTATGTAATGGGACCCACAACAAGCATGTTTCAGAAAGCTAACAAATTTAATAAAAACAAGACACATCCACTGTACAACTGATTTTTTTAATGGAAATATATTAGTATGACCTGTATAAATTATGAGATTCAAAACAGTGGTTTCAATATACTGCTAAACATATGAATGAAGGTAGTGACTAGGATGGAAATCTGTCAGTGCTACAAAAATACATATAAACAAAATAATTTTTGTCCTTCGATAAATCTACAAGATATAAAATTAAGAATATTTATATAATTTCATATTAGATATGTGAAAAATATGCCATGCTAGAACAATCTCGTTCCAAAGTTTGAAACATGAATTGTCAAAAATGCTCTTCATACAACGTATGAACTTAGCAATAACTTTCTGGGTATAAAGTTGCTTTTTATGTCATAGTCAGATGAAGATCCCTCTGAATTATATTGATCAGAATCTTGTTTCAACTGGCACCTGGAAGAAGACAGAAAATTCTCATTTTAAAATATTTGTGAAGTTCTGTTACGATAATCACATCTTAGGAGCTAGAATTTATCAGAGTTATCAGGGTTTTTTTGTTTTGAATTTTAATGATCAATTACCTTCCATCACTACTTATTTAACATAGATCCATGCAATACCACATTGTAATTCAAAGGCCTAATTTAACTTAAAGTGATGGTACAATGTGTTGCAGTAATATCCTTTTTCACATTTGATCCAAAGGGCTTTTACCCCAGTCACCACTGGTGGTGTATCCACAGCTAGTGATTTATCTTCCTTGAAGCCAGATAGAGAGATGGTGTTAAATGTTTCTTTTTTTAATATGGGGAAGCCAAGGTCCACCATTGTGCTAGCTATATTCTGTTAGACAATGCGCTCTAACATTTGGGTCTGACATGAGGTTTAAATGCTGTTCCTACGCTTTATCCTCCAATACTTGGTGACAATTCTAAATCCAATCACTGAGGAGACGGTTTCTGGTGCGAGGCTTTTCTTTTAAGGAACTCAGGCAAGGGGACAGTTGTATTCGGTTTCTCTGGAATCTAGTCCCAGGAGACAGAATCATGGTGCTTATCTATGCTCGCCTCTTACCTCAGGTCTATCCAATTTGCTGGAATGGCCTTTTCATCTGACCTTTGCTACTCAATACCACTCTTAATAAGTCCCAGGTTTATCTTATGCTATACATTTCTTTTTCATTTAGAATAGAAATTTCTTTTTTGAAACCTTTCAACTAGGAGAAATACCACCAGCCACCTGCCATGCTTGAAGACAATCATTAAATTCCTTATTTGGTCCCCCAATCTGTTAGTCTTTCACCAGAGGATAGAGATAGTGTACTATAGTGAACAGAGGACAGGTCTTGTCATCAGAAAGATCTTGTTGGAGTCACTTGGTGTGTGACCTCAAGCAAAGCAGTTAAGCTGTCTGGGCTTCTTATTTTTCTTGTTTGGAAAATGAAGATATCTTCTTTGTACATCGTTATAAGGATTGAGATAATGAATGTAATACACCTGCCACCTACCTGGCCTACAGCAGAAACCCATTTTAATTTGTGATTCTAGTTTCCCCAAACTAGAAACCTTGCTTTAAAGGACGGAATGTTCGAGAAATGAACATCTACAATGAAATGGAACTCTCCAGTTAAACCCTAAATTGGCAACTCACTCTAGTAAGGAAGAAGGATAGAAACTTAAGTTTCATTGTTTGGGCACTGTGCTAGGGACTTCTCAGGCACCTGGCTATTGGGAGGTGTGTATTAGCTTATCAGCTTCATTGCTAATTCACCTGTAAATGGGAATTGCAATACCTTCCCTACCGCGTTGATTATTACGGGGCCAGAGTAAGAGCATTGTTGTAAGTGCTTTGAAAAATAAAAAAATATATATATATGCTCAATATTGCATTAACAGAGATCTATTATCACTATTTTTTCATCCTTTTTTTAATGCGGGTCTGAGTTTCTTTTCCCGAAAACACCCTGTGAGATTGGTTAGCAGTTTCAGTTTTCTAGGGATGAGGCACAGAGGCTCAAGCAAGTGCTGGACTTTCTGCCACATGCAGGAAGAGGTCTCACTACTTTGAAGTGTTTTTTGCTGTGATGTCTAGATGAAGATAAACCTGTCGAAGAATCTTACCTGATATTCCCGATTACGTAATCCTCCATTTGTATTTATGGTAAAATCCATTTTTCCGTCTTTTTCCTGAGAAAAAGAGAATGGAAATATGAACTAGGGGCTGATTTGTTTTTAATGTTGAAAAATTAAGAGAAATTTAAGGAAAGCAGATGGTTACTAATGCGATTATGAACGTCATCAAACAGCTGGTACCTGACTGGAATGAAACTTTGAAGTACTGTAATCTTTCTTCATCAAAATATGCAAAACGGCATCATGGATTGTTAAGAAAAATATTGAGTCTTTGACTTCATCATCAAAAAATTCACATCTGGTAAGCTTCTCAACGAAGTCATCTGGAGAGAAAAAAACAACAACTCTTAGGAAGAAACAACTGGCCAAGGGTAAGTAATTTCACCTTCCATTTGCAAATGTGCGTTTCCTTGACATTTGGTTAAGTGTTTGTGCGTTGCAGTGGTACAATACCAGTCTATCATTGGTACAATGTCTTTTGGAACTAACAAATACCTTTCTAATACAAAAAATATTTAATGCCCCAATGTAAAAAGGAGGAAGGCAACGGAGCAAATGAAAAAAAGTAGTTCCTAGAAGAAAATTAATTCATTTAGGCAGGAGACTAGTGAGTTGATCTCCCTGCTTAATGATTAGAGTATCAAGTGTGGCTTATTATTGAAGTTTGGGATTTAAAGTTTGGGATTCTGCCAAAATAGAACATATGTTTATGGACTGGTGATATGCTGTGGTTCTTGATTGTAGCCCATTTTCCCAAAGCTGATGGGTTTTATGAGAAAACATTGTCCTTACTACTTACCTCTCTAATCTTCTTTGAGAAATCCCATTTTTGTAGGCACTAAACAGCATTTGTTTGCATAGATTACTCAACCAACTATTACCTTATGTCTACCATGTGCAAAACTCTGGCTGAGTAATAAGAAGGATCAAAAGATAAATTAAGACCTGAATCTTGCCCTCAAGGAAGATAGAATGTGTATATCTTCCTGTAGTACTGTCAGGAAAAGTGTTGTATAATAATGAGGGCAAGGAGCAATCTAGTTTTCCTCCTTTATTGTATTCTTAGTTTTAAAACAATTTCCAGCACATAGTATGTCTTCATATTTTTTGTTGAATATACAAGAGACATATAGATCATGTACTATAAAAATTCTGAGAAAGTTTCCTCTTGGTGGGTATCTGGGAAAACTTGAACAGATAACATCTAAAAGTGCCTAGGATTTGGAGAAAAGAGGAGGAAGAGAAGGTACACAATCATGGAGATGGATTCTTCTGTTTACAGGCAAGCTTTCAATGGCAGAGGGAGAGGGAGCGTGGAGGGCATTGTGGCCGCCAGGACCTGGGATGGAGTGGGTGGCATGCAATGGGAAGGAAGGTGATAATTTTTGATAAAGACTGGAAAGAATGCTAGGCAGCAGAGACAGCAGGAACAGATACTTTCCAAAATAGCTGGGATGATGGGAAAAGGGTAAAATTGTTTAGTAAATTAAAGGTTCCTGGTATCAAGGGGATATTTTTAATTATAAGGAAGGCTTGACAATGGTTGAACTAATTTTCACTCTCACCAACAGTGTATTAGCACAGGGTGATGATTCCTCAGCGAGCTAGGACAAATACCATTTGACCCAGCAATTCCATTACTGGGTATACACTCAAAGGAATATAAATCATTCTGTTATAAAGATGCACGCATGCGTATGTTAATTGCTGCACTATTCACAATAGCAAAGACATGGAATCAACCTAAATGCCCATCAGTGGTAGACTGGATAAAGAAAATGTGGTACATATATACTATGGAATACTATATAGCCATAAAAAGAACAAGATAATATCCTTTGCAGGTACATGGAATTGGAGGCCATTATCCTTAGTAAACTAATGCAGGAACAGAAAACCAAATACTGCATATTCTCACTTATAAGTGGGAGCTAAATGATGAGAACATATGGACACAAAGAGGGGAACAACCCACACTGGGGCCTTTCAGAGGGTGAAGGGTGGGAGGAGGGAGAGGATCAGGAAAAATAACTCATGGATACTAGATCTAATACATGGTGATGAAATAATCTGTATAATAAACCCCCATGACATGTAACCTACGTAACAAACCTGCATGATGAATACAGGTTTGTTATGTAGGTAAACAGGGATGTTACGTAAGTTCAGGGATGTTATGTAGGTAAACTCAGGTCATGGGGGTTTATTATACAATTATTTCATCACCAGGTATGAAATTATTTCATCACCAGGTATAGTGTATGAAATACAATCCTGATGATGAAATAATTGTATAATAAACCCCCATGACCTGAGTTTACCTACGTAACAGCCCTGAACTTTAAAGTTTAAAAAAAAAAAAGTCTTGAAACTAGAATATGTCTGTATATTTTAGGGACAGGATCCAGCAGAAAGGGAGAGATGAAGGATGCCAATTTCATACCTTTCTAAGGACCCGTGTACCACTTGTCTCCTCTCCCTAAAATGCTCCCCCTAAGTACTGTCAAGGTTGACTCCCTCACTTCATTCTAGTCTCTACTCAAAATGTCATATTGCTGGACATCCCTGATCACCAGTCAGTCTTTCTTTCTTTCTCTCTCTTTTTTCCTTCTTTCTCTTTTTCTTTCCTTCCTTCCTTCTTCCTTCCTTCCCTTTCCCTCTCTCCCTTCCTTCTTTTTCTGTCCTTCCTTTCCCTCCCTCCCTCCCTCTCTCCTTCCCTCCCTCCCTCCTGCCCTCCCTCCCTCCTTCCTTCCTTCCTCCTTCCTCCCTTCCTTCCTTTCTTTTCTTTCTCTCTGTCTCTCTCTTCCTCTCCCTCTTTTATTTATTTATTTATTGAGACAAAAATAAATAAATGCTCTGTCACCCAGGCTGGAGTGCAGTGGCATGCTCACAGCTCACCACAGCCTTGACCTCCCAGGCTCAAGCGATCCTTCCACCTCAACCTCCTGAGTAGCTGGGACTACAGGCACATGCCACTACACCCAGCTAATATTTGTATTTATTATTTGTATTTATTTATTTATGTATTGTTTAGAGACGGCGTTTCACCACATTGCCCAGGCTAGTCTCAAATTCTGGGGCTTAAGTGATCTGCCTGCTTCAGCTTTCCAGAGTGCTAGCATTACAGGCATGAGCCATAGCTCCCAGCCTCTATTTCTTAACCCTGCTTTTTTCTTAGCACTTATCACTGCCTGAAATATGCTTTTATTTGTTTATTATATGGCTTTCCTATGAGACTATAAGCTACATGAGGACAGGGGCTTGTCAGATTCACTGCTGTATTCCCAGCATCCGAACAGTGCCTGACAAATGGTAGGTATTCTGTACGTCTTTACTGAATGCCCATATCATGTCCTAGGATCTAGGGAAGAGACAGGGAATAAGAAGGTAAGCAAGAACAATACCTACCCTGGAAGAGATACAGTCTAGTCGGGACGCAAACAGAACTGCAAAATTATGCTATATGTGTATATTCTGTAGATGCAAACAGTCTGCAGACCCAGTGCTCTGCCTGGGGAAGCAAGAACGTTTTCAGTTATTGTCAGAAAAATTCCTGCAGAAGCCTTCTTTCCGAAAATGAGATGGGAGAGCATTATAGGGACAGAGAGGATACTAGTTAGAAAGCCCTTCTAGAAGGCCTAGTAGAGAAATAATAAGGGTCTAGATTAAGGTCTGGAAATGGAGACAAAGAGACTGATTTAAGAGGAAATATTCATAGGACCTTTGAGGCCGGTGACTCACTTACTAGAAGGAAGGAGAGGAGAAATTGGTGATCGTTTCAGGGTTTCTATCTGGAAAACTAGGTAAGCAGTGATGCAGTGATTGTGATAGGAAAGAAGTATTTTGGGGAGGGTGAATCCTATACATAGTTTTTTAAATGTGTATCTGAAGTGCCTGAGGGACAGCCAGACAGTTGAATCCATCGGTCTGCAGCTCAGAAGAAGGGTCTGGGCTGGAGGTATAGTTTGGGGATTCATTAACAAGTAGATATACATGAAATCATAAACATGTAGGAAATTGACTAGAAAGAGTCTGTGGAATTAGAACTATGAAATAGTGTTTAAGGTTGATACCTGGGGAAGACTGGAAGAGTGGGAAAAGAACCAAAGTCAGACCCTGAGGAGCCGTTTGAGAGGTAGAAGGTGAATCAGAACTGTCCTGCCGGGGTCAGGGAGGGAGAGAGCTCAAAGAAAATGCTAGGGAGAGAGGCAAATGCTTAAATAAGCTGCTGCAGAGGGATCCCAGACGAAGGCAGTTAATCCTGATGATCTGGACGGCACTGATAACCTTGGCAAGGATGGTCTCATCAGCAGGTGAAGCTAACCCAGACTGTTATGGGCTGGAGCGTGCAAGGGAAGGGAGGAAGAGAGACAGAAAACAAGGCGACTTTTTCAGGAAGTTTAGAGTAAAAAATGGTTAACATATTCCTCCTTTGTTGCCTATGAAATCAGGATCCAAATTGCAGAATTCATTTAATTACATATCAACATAACTAAAATATAAAGATGCTGTTTCCATAGGGATTTTTATTTGGTTGGCTGCAAATCAGATTTTCATCTTGATCATATAAAATACTCATTCTTTGGAGAGGCTGTCCAGATTGACAGTTGACAGTGAAGTGATTGTCAGAACATCAAAATAAAGCAACTTACCATCAGTTCCAACAATATACACATCTACCTTGATCCTGATAAATTCTTGCAAAATCTGTTAAAAAGAAAGTATATCTTCCTTAGGGAACAGTTTCACTTGTCAGAAATGTAAACAAAACAATCAGAATTATACCTTACGGGTGATATATTGCTTTTAGAACCTTTAGCATTTTGAAAAGAGATAATAGGTGAAGATATAATAAACTTAAAAACAAATCTGTGGAACAGAAATAAACACAAATAAAGGAGCCCTTCTCCTCAGTAAGAAGTTAAAAATGATCATTCTTGAGGGAAGTATTATGGGAAAACATTCTGTCTCAAACTCATAAGAACATCTCTGATTTAATTTTAAAATAGTGTCTTCTTTGGGATGACCTCAGCTGGAGCTTTCTTGCTTCATAAAAGTTTTAAAAAAGAACCTATGGACTGCAAGTTGCTAATTATTCTTGTCCACAAGAATAATGGATGAATGGATGTATCCAACACCAATGAATCTTTTTTTTTTTTTTTTTTTTTGAGACGGAGTTTCGCTCTTGTTACCCAGGCTGGAGTGCAATGGAACAATCTCGGCTCACCGCAACCTCAGCCTCCTGGGTTCAGGCAATTCTCCTGCCTCAGCCTCCTGAGTAGCTGGGATTACAGGCACGTGCCACCATGCCCAGCTGATTTTTTGTATTTTTAGTAGAGACGGGGTTTCACCATGCTGACCAGGATGGTCTCGATCTCTTGACCTCGTGATCCACCCGCCTTGGCCTCCCAAAGCACTGGGATTACAGGCTTGAGCCACCGTGCCCGGCCCACCAATGAATCTTTATCCATTTTTTCTGGTTTCTACGCTAAGAACAAATACCAGCAGTGATATGAGTCAGATCATGTAAAGTAAGAAAAGTAGCTTATATTATATTGTGGATAAGATTAGATGATCACTAATATCATTACTGTCATTGATAAACACTTTCAGAACCTCTTCTAGGCACTTCACTAAGGATTAGAGGTCCTGTCCTTTGTGTGTGTGTATGTGTGTGTGTGTGTGTGTATGTGTGTTAAAATGCAGAAAGATAAGCTAAAGTAAACAAAACCTAAAATAAACAAAACCCAAAAGCAAAAAAAGAAAACGCAAGTAGATTTGAGAGTTATATGATGCTGACATAAAAAAAAACCTTCCATTTTCTAATTTTGTATCCAGTTCACTCGTGCTTAATAGGTCTTATCTTAGGTTAGCTTTTACTTAGGCAGATTTTTGTGAAAACCCAAGAAAAAGAAAGATGTAGTTTCTTAAATTTTCTTTTTATATGTTTCTGCATTTCTGTTAGAAACTAATTTATTTTAGAAATGCACTAAATCTGTGGAAAGAAAACAGACTGCAATCTGATTGTTTCAGTCATGTTTTTGAAATCACATGTGACATTTATTTTTTCATATATCTATTTGTTTTTTTTTAAGACATATTTAAAAATAGCCAAGTGAAATTTCATCAGCTTATAACGGATGAGGATTAAAAAAAAAAGGGATCCACTCTTACATTTTTTTCCCAGGACCTTTCCAGATCTTCTCTGATTTCAGAATAATTAGATACAGCGCCCACAAATATTTGAAAGTACCACAGAATTGAAATTTAAAAGGAATGTGGGCATTGCTGTCCACAAACAGATTCAGCATACATTAGAATTGTTGCTTTGATTCCTTTCAATCTAGTACTCAGTCTCATGGAAAATGCCCTTTTCAAGAGTACACTGAACACCACGTTTCCCTCCATGGAACTCTAAGATTATAAGTTGCTTCAAATTAAATGTATGTTACCTAAAGGAGCATCCTTCCACAAATACAATTTATGGGTTTTTTTTTTAAATTTTTTTTTTGAGATGGAGTCTCACTCTGTCCCCCAGGCTGGAGTGCAGTAGTGCGATTTTGGCTCACTACAACCTCCACCTACCATTGCAATTCTCCTTCCTCAGCCTCCCAAGTAGCTGGGATTACAGGTGTGTAAAACCATGCCCAGCTGATGTTTGTATTTTTAGTAGAGATGGGGGTTTCACCATGTTGGCCAGGCTGGTCTTGAACTCCTGACCTCAGGTGATCCACCCACCTTGGCTTTCCAAAGTGCTGGGATTACAGGTGTGAGCCACTGCCCCCGACCCACAAAAACAGTTTTTTAACCTTTAGCCATTGATTGGTTGTTTCCATTAAGAACAACAAAATTACCGATTTAAGGCCCCTCATTGAAGAAACATCAAGAAAGGACACTGCTGAAAAGTCGAGAATGAGGCTGTGGAGGCTGATTCTGGGGACCTCAATGTTGAGAGGAAGATCATTCCAGTCAATCTGGAAGGGCAGGTCTGTGGTACTGATCGGCTGGTTCAGTACTTCTATCTGATTGTTGTCCAGCTCTTCGTCAGAATCTTTTATGGCATCAACAGTGCATATAAATCCTTTCTGCAGGAGAGGATAACAAGCATGATAACTGTGACCAAGAAGAAAAACATTGTGTATGTCAGAGATAGCCAGTGAGTTTCAGAAGCACTGATTCAGAGTTGAGCCAAACAACGGGATTGGACTGGGTTTGGTGGTTCATGCCTGTAATCCCAACACTTTAGGAAACTGAGGTGGGAGGATCACTTGAGTCCAGGAGTTTGAGATCAGCCAGGGCAACATGGCAAGACCCTGTCTTTGTAAAAAATAAAAAAAATTAGCCAGGTGCGGTGGCATATGTGATTGCAGTTTCAGCTATTTGGGAGGCTGAGGTGGGAGGGTCCGTTGAGTCTGGGAGGTCAAGGCTGCAATGAGCTGTGATCACACCACTGCACTCCAGCCTAGGCCACAGAGCGAGACAATGTCTCAAAACAACAAGATTGTAGACACTTGTGTTTGGTACTTTTCCCAGGAGAGTCGAAATTTTAGGGAGACCCTCAGAAACATGTCATTTTAAAATAGAACATTCATTGACACATGAAATCCCTTGTTTGGCAATTCATTTAAAGGAATGGAACTAACACCTTGAATCATCCTTTACTGAGCTTTTAGCTACAATGCAGAGAAATGTGGTCAAGAAACTTACTGGTGTCACTTGTAGCAGGCCTTGCTTCTGCAGTTTTCGGATTTTCCTCAAAGCTTTGTTGCGCTTGCGTAGAATTCGAAGTGGATTAAAGCCAACCTGAGAAACCCATTGCTGTGTTACAAGAGTACTGAATATTCTATTATTTATATAGCATAATTCTAACAACTTTTACTGGAGTGATTTGAGGGATTGGGACAGATAATAAAAATATTTGCGACAAAATTTAAAAGTGGTTTAAACAACATCAGCAACAACTTTGTGTCAGACCCATGGTCTGCTCCACCTATATCCAGTTACCAACAGTCAAAAGCTTTTGTATGACACAGTCCAGGATTCATTCATAAATTATCCATGAGTAGACATAAACTCTATTTGAATCTGTTTGTGTTTGGAACCTACACAACTCTTAGGGGATTTTATTTTATTTATTTTCTATTTATTGAGTATGGGTGACACCTATGTAAGTATTCTGCTTCTATGTAATTTTTATTTTATTAAAATTTATGTAATTGTATGTTATTATTTTATAATTTAGTATTATGTTTGAAGTTAATCTTTATTTCCCCTTTTCAACCTAATGAGTTCTTACTGCTATAATATTTAGGTCCAGGTAAATAAGAGAGGAGGATCAAATTATGTAATAAAAAATCCTTGGCCAGATGTGGTGGCTAACACCTCTAATCCTTGCACTTTGGGAGGCCAAGGTGGGAGGACTGCGTGAGGCCAGGAGTTCAAGGCCAGCCTGGGCAACAAAGCAGGACCTTGTCTTTACAAAAATTTAAAAATTTAGTGTGGTGTCATAGCACATGCCTGTAGTTCCGTCTACTTGGGGGACTGAGGCAGGGGACATCACTGGAACCCAGGAGTTTGAGGTTGCAGTGAACTGTGATCATGCCAGCCCAGGTGACAGAGCGAGACCTTGTCTCAAAAAAACAAAAAAATCTTGTGGTGGCTCATGCTGGTAACCCCAGCACTTTTGGAGGCCGAGGCGGGAGGATCATGAGGTCAAGAGATCGAGACCATCTGGCCAACATGGTGAAACCCCGTCTCTACTAAAAATACAAAAAAATTAGCTGGGTGTGGTGGTGTGCGCCTGTAGTCCCAGGTACTGGGGAGGCTGAGGCAGGAGAATTGCTTGAACCTGGGAGGCAGAGGTTTCAGTGAGCCAAGGTCGTGCCACTGCAGTCCAGCCTGGTGCCTGGTGATGGAGTGAGACTCTGTCTCAAAAAAAAAAAAAGATCCTTGACAAAAAATAAAGTTACATGGAAGTTTACTAGAGTAATCAAAAGGGGCAGTATAGAAAACCAAATAAACAATATAATCTCATTTTTCAAACAACAACAACAAAACTGGGTAGAAAAATATCCGATGCATATCAAACTAATAATAATAATTAAGGTTTAAGGCAGAAGCTCTATGCAAGCTACAGAGTAAACCAAAAGGCATGTTTCAAGAGTGAGGACTGAGCTTTTTGTCTTAACTGTCAAGACTGCTTGCTTCCTTGTCATCATCTCTCCAGTTTGCCAGGGACACTCAGTATTTATTGTTATTTAGTATTAACCATTCATTTACAGCTGCTATACTGAATTTCTTTGATGATGTGATCAAATATTAAATGGTCCCTCATTGTTTCTAAAGTTGATGCCCAAAGAAAATCTGTAGGATGACACCTGTTAAAAGCCAGCAACCCAAAACATGGATTTTTTTTTACTCTACAGCAGAGTTTGAGAAAAGTATTTTTCTATATTAGATGTCATCTGAATAGGCTTATTTCTCAACATATTAACAAACTCCCATAAGGTAGTTTCACCTGCTCTGGGACATGGGACAAAAAACACTGGTGCAACCCCACCTCAACATATGTGACACAACCCAGCCTCAACAATGACCTTACAGAACAAACACATTCCTAGATATTCAGTAAGATTACAAGAAAAAAAATTAAATAACCCCAAACCTTACAGCATCGAGAAGTTTCTGCTTAAAGAAACCAATGTTTGCAAAGTAGATAGGAGATGGACATCTGAAAATTTTCACTCCTTCTGGCTCATACATCTATAAGGCAGAGAAGTATTATTAGATGGTGCCCATTAGATCCATACTTAATATCATTTAGCAAGTCAAAGAAAAAAAATGAATCTCCCTTACATCCAAATAATCTTTTTTATTCTTATAGATGTTGCTTCTTCCAATATTAGCCAGTGTGCTGCATTTTGGACTGTAGGGAGAAAAACAAGTAAATCATGCACATTTGTTAGGCCTATAAAGCTAACACTGATTTTTTCCAGCATACCAAAACTGGCTCACTTTTCAGAATGTAAAAGGTTGGGGAAATCATCATGCCATCAGAGACACTGGAAGGGAACACTCTGTTTTACTTATCTTTTTAGGTGCTTCTCACAGCACCTAAAAAGTGCCTCCCATTTGTCACATTACAGTATACAAAGCACTCCATATGCTTTTGCCATTTTGATTCTGAATGTCACAATTAGTCCAAAAGGTAAGGCAGATATGATTACCCAGTTGTATGGATGATGACATGGAAAAGTAAAATGACTTGCTTATGATCATTCAGTTTTTCTCTATGTTTGATGGGTTCCCAGTAAAGAATGGAATGAAATTTAAATAAATGAAAGAATACAGGAGTATTTCAATATCGGTGTATTTCTTCAGTCAGGGATTGACTTTTTGATAACAATTTCTGTTCTCTAAGCCTCCTTATTTCTCAAGGAGGCTTCTTTTTCTGTCACGCTATGTAATTCAAAATAGTCTGAGCAACCACATGGTAGTGATGTTACATGGCAGAGATTTTAAACAATCAAGGCTGGATACCATGGCTCATGACTGTAATCCTAGCACTTTGGCAGACTGAGGCAGGCAAATTACCCAAGGTCAGAAGTTCAAGAACCAGCCCAGCCAACATGGTGAAACCCCATACCTACTAAAAATACAAAAATTAGCCAGGTGTGGTGGTGGGCACCTGTAGCCCCAGCTACTTGGGAGGCTGAAGCAGGAGAATTACTTGAGCCCAGGAGGCAGAGGTTGCAGTGGGCTGAGATTGCGCCATTGTACTCCAGCCTGGGCATTAAGAGTGAAACTCTGTCTCAAATAATAATAATAATAATAATAAAATAATAATAAAATTAAGATTAAAAAGATGCTTGGACTGAATAATATTAAAAATCAATAATTCCAAATGGCTTTTGTGGAATTTTAAGGCAAGAGAGGCCTTTGAGAAATTCTGTAATCTAGCTCCATATTTTAAAGGTACAAGTGCAATCTAACAATCTATGAAGAGGAAATCCATCCACTAGATGTGAGGACTCACAATCTCAGTAACACATTTCCATGTTTAACAAGTTCAAGGCAAAGACATTAAACTTGCTTGGAATATAATCACTTCTGGTTTATAGCTGGGCAAACAGACTCAGATTTATATGATTTATTTGAACTGGAGTCAAAGCCAGGAGCAGACCAACAGCAGGTCTCCTCCCTGGGCTGATGTCTAAACCTGGGCCATGCTATTGTCCTTCAGGCCTCGAGGTGAGCATTCGGAGGGAGGATAAACTACCGAAACTTGACGGAAATGCACACCTATCAACCAACTACTATTCTCTTAGCCAGTGACATTGTTTTTCTCTTCTGATTTGGGCAGGTCCAACCCTGCCAGGATGCAAGGCAAGTTGAGCACTCACAATTGGGTCCTGAACACGATGGTTAGCAGTTGAAATGCCACGCTAGCTGCCAGGCCTAACCCGAGTCCCAGGACAATGGTGAGGATGAAGGTCATGATCCAAATTAGCTGTGAAAAGAAAGCAACACACACACTTATGATTGACTTTGATTCAAGTACAATGTTGAGATGGATCTTTAAAAAAACTTTTGTTTTCTTTCTTTTTTTTTGTAGAGACAGAAAGACTTTGTCTCTACAAAAAAATAAAAATAAAAAAATTAAAAATTAAAAAATTAAAAAATTTGCTAGGCATGCTGGAAATTGGAAGTTGCCATTTGGGGCCAAGGAGCAAAGTGCACAGAAGATACTTGTGTCAAGAGGTCATTTCTGCTGGCTCAGGTTCTGGGCCACAGAAAGAAAAGCAAATATGAGGATTCAAAGAAAGTATATTCATTTCTAATCCATCTCCAACCCATTTAGGAAATGGGATTGTCTGTCACAGTGATAATTATAACTGCAAAACCCGCAATTACTTTTGCATCAGCCTAATAGAGCCAGCTGCTGTACATAATCAGCAAATTAGGCTGAGCATGAAGGCTCCCACCTGTAATGCCAGCACTTTGGGAAGCTGAGGTGGGAGGATCACTGAAGGCCAGGAGTTCAAGACCAGCCTGGGCAACATAGTGAGAACCTGTTTCTGCAAAACTAAAAAAAAATTAGCTGAGGATGGTAGAGTGTGGCTGTAGTCATAGCTACTCAGGAGCCTGGGGTAGGGGATCGCTTGAGCCCAGGAGCCTGGGGTAGGGGGATCGCTTGAGCCCAGGAGCCTGGTGTAGGGGGATCGCTTGAGCCCAGGAGCCTGGGGTAGGGGGATCGCCTGAGCCCAGGAGTCTGAGCTTATAGTGAGCTAGGATGGTACCACTGCACTTCAGCCTGGGTGACAGACGGAGATCCCACCTCTAAAAAATAAAAAAAATTAAAAAAAAAAAGAGGCTGGGCGCAGTGTCTCATGCCTGTAATCCCATCACTTTGGGAGGCCGAGGCAGGCGGATCACAAGATCAGTAGTTCAAGACCAGACTGGCCAACATGGTGAAACCCTGTCTCTACAAAAGATACAAAAAATTAGCTGGGTGTTGTGGCATGTGCCTGTAATCCCAGCTACTCAGGAGGCTGAAGCAGATGAATTGCTTGAACCCAGAAGGCAGAGGTTGCAGTGACCTGGGATCACACCATTGCACTCCAGGCTGGGTGACAGGGCAAGACTGTGTCTCAAAAAAAAAAAAAGAATGTCTTATTCTTGGTCTGCAGATGTAATTAATGGTTGTTATCTTTATAAGAATTTTAGCATGCCAGAAGGGTGTTAAAATGCCCCACAAAAGTAAACCAAGTGTAAATGACTAGTTATGATCTTTAAATACCTATGGGTATGTTAACAAGCATTTTTACACAACAGACTTTGACCCTGTTAAAATAGCAAAGCATGCGAGAGCAAAGGGGAGCCTTTCCAAATGAGAGTATTTCAAAAAGGAATGCTTAGAAATTAGGTTCTTCACAGATTCGTGGAAACAAACACATTATGTAATGAAGAACAGAAGCCATGCATACCCTAAAATTCAGAGAGTTTCTGTGGTATTTGGGATTACTGCAAGAACTTTTAGAACAGGTCTAAGGAAGTTCTACACTAGTGTTTCATGGAGCCCATTCTTTTAAATTAAAAGTAGCCCATTTTAAGAAATTAAAGTCCCAGAAAATGATCATTAGAGTATGCAATTTAATAATAGCAAGTAAAACAAACTAAGGTTATTTTGAATGGATATATAGAAATAAAATTTCACTTAGTTTACAATATAAACATGCATTTCATATTGGCATTAAAATGCAATTGTGATTTATCTCTCTTTCAGATATTCTACTTACACAATCATATTTATCCTTTCGCCACAATCTGCCTATTTCAGCAAACTGCATCAGCATTCCCTTTAAGTTTCCCAGTGCTAAAGCTGCCAGGACGGACTGTAAGAAATGTAAACACCGGATGTACTTTAAGTTAATGAAATAAACCATATAGAAGCAAAGGTGAAGGCTGTAGATAAGTGAGTCCTTTAAAGGGCCTCAAAGCATATCAAAGCATACACCCTTTTCCACTGTGCGATGCTATACAAGACACACCAGAACTGGGACTCTGACCTGTCCCCAGGAGTGACTTTGTCCCCACCACAGTGACAAAGACTAGACTGCTCTTGTGATTGTGAGATAGATGACCTGATGGCATTTACTAGCCTGCACCTTGGGACAGAGAAAGGTAGATCTTAGACCTATGACAGATAAACACTTGATATAAATTCTTCCCAAGCAGAGACAGTCTAATGTGTGTTTCTTTATTGAAGCTGAGGAGATGGGGGTAGCTCTTTGTTTAAAAAAAAAATAAACAGCTTGGGGAGCTTGAGGTCCTGGAATGAGATGACTTGAGGTGGGCTTTCTGGGACAGCATGAAACATATCTATCTAGTTCCTATGACATCCCCAAAACCTACTATGGTAAATATAGGAAGGGTTTTAAAATTAGTCAGTGAATGAGTGGATGAGCCAATGAATGAATATTTCCCAGGCCAGTACTAATGTGCTACAGCTGCACTTCAGGCTTCCAATTCTTCCACCGCCAGAATGTGATCTTTTGTCTTGCCGGAACTGTGATAGTTATGGTGAAAAATGCTGAATAGCTAAGTATATGCTCTTCGTTCTTTGGATTTTAACATAATTGTAGGAACATGCCCCTCACCCTCCTGTCCCCACTGCCAATTTCAGCTGTTTTATTCTGAATGAAACATGGAATTTGTATACTGCTACACCATGAAAACACAGTGTACAAAGAAAAGTCAAACACAGTTTTTATTTTTATATTTTGAGAAAGTTGGACTGATCTGCCTATTTCTAATTTTCACAGGTAACCCTCATAATATCATATCTAAGCAATTAATTTTGCTAACTGTGAGAATAGAGGTCACAATTTAGAAGAAATATGGCCTTAAGTGACTTAAATTTGGCACACAAGTGAATGCCAGTTAAAAAAATGGTGAAAATTGAATGAAGTCTGTCATCTACTTAACATACTATACTAATGTACAGTATGATATTGTACGACAGCTACGTAAGAGATCACCGCTGTGGTAGCCAGGCGAATAATTCAGAGGACTGTACAACAGGCCTCTCCATTTTGCAGGACTTTAAATTCTATAAGTATAAAATATATCAAGAGACCTCTGTGAGAAGAGACAGACTTTTTTCCATTGGGCATTATTTCCCACCTAGTCAGTATTCCACAGGAAAACAATTTGAAATAATTTACAATGACATGCATATACAATAGAGTACTTTAAAAGTAAAGATCACATAGAAAAGAAAAGGGGATAATTTCTGCAGGAACCTGGCATCCATACTGCTTTTGACATAAAGGATTAAATACATAAATACAGAAAAATGCTTAGAGCTCTGCTGAGCACTCAACAAATATTTATTATGAGCTTTCTTAATGAGTTATTTTGCTTTCATATGATAAAAAGAAGCAAAATAGCCATTCAGGTGAAACAAAGACATTCCTGACCACAATGGTCTAAAAAAGAACGTATCACAGGATCCTTTATCACAGGGTCTTTGATTAACATCTTGGACAATGTCCTTGACTAGTTTATTCAGGAGACAGATGGCATTTTAGGTGGTAGTTATTTCTTTAGTGTCTTCAAATCGATGTGGGCTAGGTAGAACCCAAGTTAACTCCTGGGGAGAAGCATGAGAGTGTGGAGTTCTCTATGCAGGGTGAGTGTGTGTGCGTTTATTTTTATTGAGATAACACATTCTTCTTATTTTGAAATCAGAAGTATTGCATGTGGAGAATTGGTAAATTGTTCTCTGCCCTGCTTGAAGATGGATTTGGCCAGTGAGCTCTCTGGGATGACCACACTGGGAGTCCAGAAACCTGGGACCAACGTGCTGTTCGGCTACCAACCAACAAGGGAAACAGCCTTAGGTAACAGATATTAGTGGGCTGTATCATATCTCTACGTCCTTTGTAGCCAGAAGTGTAATACAGTGTAGAATAATAATACTATTATTAACAATAATAACTATCATTTATCAAGTGTTTATCATATGCCAAACCTTGGGCTAAGTAGTTCACATACATGATCTTATTGATTTATTTTTTTGAGATGGAATTTTGCTCTTGTCGCCCAGGCTGGAGTGCAGTGGTGCGATCTTGGCTCACCGCAACCACCACCTCCTGGTTCAAGTGATTCTCCTGCCTCAGCCTCCCGAGTAGCTGGGATTACAGGCATGCGCCACCATGCCTGGCTAATTTTGTATTTTTAGTAGAGGTGGGGTTTCTCCATGTTGGTCAGGCTGGTCTCAAACTCACAACCTCAGGTGATCCGCCCACCTCAGCCTCCCAAAGTGTGGGGATTACAAACTGAGCCACCGTGCCTGGCCAATCTTATTTACTTTTATAGTCACTCTGTGCAGTGGGTATTATTTCCCTTCCTCTTGTACACATGTGGTGCTTGAGGTTCAGCAAGGTTAAGTAATTTGCCCAAAATCACACAGATAATAAATGGCAGAGCCAGGATTAGAAGGAGGTTAACAAGGCTCCATGTACCACCTCAAAATTATCTTAAAACCACAAGGAACAATGTATTTACCATCATCTTGTTTCCTAGACGGCCTTTGCTTTCCAGGGTTCAATGGTATGTTTCACATCTGAGTGCCGCAGAAATTTACAGCGCATTAAACTAAACCCTCAAACTTACAGATAGAGGAGCATGAGAGTAGGGCTAGGAGGTCTGTGCTGGCTATTCACTCCCATCTCACAATCCGACAATGTTGGTCTTGGAGTTAAACCAAAGTTCTAGGAGCTTCAGGGTGTGTTCCTAAGAATGAGTTGTGTGGCTGGTAGCACCATTCTCTGAGTTAGATAGAGGGCCTGATTACCTTAACCTTTAAGAAAGCCTCTACTCAGTCCATGCATGTGGAAGGTGTGGTGCCAGGATGCCCTCCTATCTTAAGATTAATTCTGTTTGCAGCTGTGCACATGTGGAGTGTAGAGGAGATAAAGCAGGTTGGGCATCTGTATTCCCAGCATTCAGAACACGTTGCCAGGGGAAAATAAATATTTTTGGCTCACACAGAGTATTGGATAAGAAGAGTACTTGAGAGTTTGTCATTACCTCATTTTCCCTAGTTTAGTTTGTGCTTTCAGAATTTGAGAACCAGGGTCCTTGATTTACCACCAAAAGGAGAGATGCTGTCCAAAGAGAGTGTTACCTTTTGTAGAGGCTCCAGGAGAAAGCCAATGGCTACAATGACAATCAGCACGATGATGGCAGAAATAAGCCCAGCAATCTGTCAGGATTAAAAAAATAGCATCACCAACTCAATTTTTCCCCTGGCTTGGATTTTCTAGTGACTGATGCTAGGATGGTGCTTTCAGCAAAGCTCTTGACATACCTGTGTTTTGCCTCCTGTGCTCTCCTGAATTGCTGATCTGGAGAGGGCAGTACTCCCAGAAAATCCTCTGAATGCTCCAGCGACTATGTTACCCAATCCCAAGGCTATTAACTCCTGACAGGAAAACAAGGAGGAACCTTTTTCAGAAGTGGCACCATTGATATTATGTGTGCAAAATATTATTTAAAGTTTTCCAGGGAGACCCAGTGCAGGTTGTATACTTACCTGATTGCCATCAAGTGGGTAATCATGTTTGAGGGAATAGACGCTGGCAACTGAAAAGGCCACTGCAAATGCAACGATTGCGATGCTGAAGCAATCTCCTATGGTGTCTGGGATAATCCGCATGTCAGGTGTAACAGGGGGCATAAATCTAAAATGGAAATTAAGCAAGTCTGAATGTCAGCAACCAACTGATAAACTGATATACTCATTGGGCAAATCAATGAATGAATGCAATCTAGGCTGAGTTGTGTCTCACTGTGGAGTATGATTAATGAGAATTTACCTCCACTGACAACTTTGGAATCTGCTTTCTTAATGCTGAAAAGCAATACTGACTGAATTTGGTAAAAGATTGCAAATTCAGTCCAAGGATAGTGTTAAGTCAGATATGGTTTTGCTACTAAAACCACATTATAATGTGCATATGTATTCCCATAAGCTTCCTGCAAAATGTCTTCTATTCCACTTGTATTGTTCCACTGGGTTGCAAAGCATCACCCAAAATGCTCCCAATAGTTAACCATAGACGAAGGCTCCTTGAGTAAACACAATTGTGAGATAAGGAAAGCAAAAAAAAAACAAAAAACTTCTTTCCATTGATAATAACGACCTTTCATGGAAAACTCCTGGCAAACAAATGGGCCTTGGATTCTGCGTGCACTTCACAGGAATGCTAGAACCAGTCATGACCCTAATGGAGAGTGGGTTTCACTTTAAAGTGATCTAGTGCCAGAGAAACCTTCAACTCACAGGGGACACTTCTGTGCTTATGCCTCATGAACATAGACCAGTTCAATTATATTTGCCAATTGTAAGGTGCATTTATCTCAAACTCAACATCAATCTACTAAAATGTTCCACTCCTATAAGCATGTATTTCTGACATCAAACTTATTAGAAGGTTAATTAGATCCAATCAACTCTTTCTGAATTGCTGTTCCACATTTTGTGAATATCTATGGTAATACATTTAACTCTAATTTTGAAGAAGTACTATTATGCCATATTCTGATGCCATTATAAATCCAAAAGTTAGCTTAGAATGTTGCTTTGTTTTTTAACAAACAGGACCTTATTATTCTTTTGTTCTGGTCTCTGAACACCATAGACAGAATGGTTGATGAAGATTTACAGTCTAAAGATTTGGGTTCATTTCCTGGCTTTGCCCCTTTCCCTCTCCAAGCCACCATTTCCTCATTTGTAAAGTGAGGATAATAACACTTGTTCTCTGTTTTGTTTTGTTTTTTAAATGGAGTCTCTTTCTCTTTCTCAGGCTGGAGTGCACACACAGCTCACTGCAAGCTCTGGGTTCCAGGCTCAAGAGATCCCCAACCTCAGCCTCCCCAGTAACTGGGACTACAGGTGCTTGCCACCACACCTGGCTAATTTTTGTATTTTTAGTAGAGACAGGGTTTCACCAAGTTGGCCAAGCTGGTAACTCCTGACCTCAAGTGATCCACCCACCTTGGCCTCCCAAATGTTGGGATTACAGGTGTGAGCCATGGCACCTGGCCTTACTATCTTTTCTTCACAGTTTTGTGGGAGGGTCAAATAATAAATGCAAATACTATTCTTATATTGTAAAATACAAAGTGCCTACTAGCTATTATTATAGGATCTTTCTGGAATCTGAATATACCCCTTGTGTTTCCTTTACTGTTTCAATGAATACTTTTCTTTAGCCAAATTATTTGTATTTAGTGTATGAGACTTTGCAAAATAATTTCTAAGGTGGCCTACTCATGAACAGCAGGTTAGCAATAATTAATAATCACTACCTTCCAGTTATAGTCTATTTGCAATCAACAGAAACTTAAAGTACCTACTCAAACATCACCCAGAAAAAAATATAGAGTGTAAAAAGCTCAAGTACTTGCTACCTAATTTAGGTGTTAAACTAGTAACAATGGCAGTGTATTTTGAACGTTTATTATAAGTCAGGCACTTAAGCATGTTACATGTATTAACTCACTTACCCCTTAAAAGAATCCTCCTTGCTAGCTATTATTTTAGCCTCATTTTACAGCCAAGGACATTGAGGCACAGAGCTTTTGGTAATGTGCTCAAGCTCAAAATGTGAGTTAGAATAAAATCTCAGGCACTCTGTCTCTAGAAAACTTGAGCTTACCTACTAGGTTACGCTGCCTGTCTGCTGAAAGTAATGGTTAAAAATATAACTACCTGCTACCACACCCCACACACTTTGTGGAGAGAGATGCACTGACATTGAAAATATACTTACTAAGTAAGACTGGTGTTTAATGTGACTCAGTGATCTTAAGTTCATCTTTTACTTTCCAGACCCTCCTGACAAGATCCTGTTTGATTTTGCATGTGCTTATTTATTTATTTATGTTTCTATTTGGTTTATGTCTCCCAAGAGATTCAAATAAAGTGAAATTGATTGAAAGTGACAGAATGGTAGGAAACCCTAGAAATAGTCTTTCAGTTTCAGCCTAATTTTCACTTTAAAACTTTTAAAATTGAAAGCGATGCTTGAAATTCATTAAGTGTAACACATGAAGATCTGGTGATAAAAACATTTTTTTTCTTTAAAGAAATAAAAAATATATGTATTTGCTTTTAAGAGAATTTGGCTGCTTTAAAGTTAAAAAAAAATTCTGGAATTCTCAAATACTTCTTAAGCATAGAGAGGGAGAGAAGTCTTTTTTAAAAACAAAACAAAACAGGAAAACAATCTTTCCTTGGTAAGTTGGAAGAAACTGAGACCGTAGTTAGAAGAAACAGCACAAAATGATCTTCCTTCTCAATTCACTGAATGTAATGGAATACATTTTAAAGTTCTTGTACAAACCAGACTTCTCATCCTTTTGTGGTGGGAAAACTTGCTCTCTGCTCTTGTTTTGAATCTGATTGCGAAAAAGGACAGAGTGTGCTATCGGGGCCGCTCGCTTGGCATGCCTGTGTTCCTTCAGTGTCTCTTTTGAACTTTCAGAACTTGCCTCCAGGAACTTCAAACAAAGCATTACATATTGTTTATAGTAATTTATGGACAAGGAAATCTGGTTTCACTTCGTGTTTCTTTGTCAGGAGAAGTGGTTTCTTTGTGCCTATTTTTCTTTATTTTATTACTTATATTTTTTGAAAAAACAACAAGAGATGAGGGTCTTGCTGTGTTGCCCAGACTGGTCTTGAACTCCTGGGCTCAAGCAGTCCTCCCATCTCAGCCTCCAAAAGTGCTGGGATTCCAGGCATAGGCCACTACACCCGGGCTTACTTTGCCTATTTTCCTACTTTCACTACTTGGCTAACTTTTACTTTCATGTGAGTTTCTCCTGGTCTGAGTCCCTGCTTGTCTGGTTTGTGAGTTCTTCCTCAAGGAGAAACTTTCTGATATTAAGAACTGCATTCATTGTGGGGAAGCTGACAAAAAGAAAAAAAGAACTGCAGACCTTGCCTTTCTTTGTAGCTTCTTCCTAGAAGGAAAGCAGTGAGCCTTCCTCAGGGATGCAGGGGGCAGGGAGGATTCTGATGAGGGTTACTGGAGGGTGACCTGCAGTTTGGATTGTACCTCTCCCGTCACTACTGCTAACTCTCTGCTTAGTGCATGGTGATGCCATCATCGAAGACACACTTACCCAGGTTCCATGTTCCCAACCACAGACACATTAAACCTGGTTTCAAAGTCAAAGCCATAGGATACACCTGTTGCGATCACAGTCTGCAAAGTTGCAAATGGCCCAAGTTAGAAATGTGAGATGAAAAAAATATATTGCTTGAAAAAAAATATATTGCCAAAACCCACTTCTGCACCTGTTAAGTAAGAACTGCAGCCCAGGCTTTGTTACTTTTTAAGAAATTTGGAGGCAATTATATCTAACATGCCGCCAGAATTGAGAACCGCAGCTTTAATTCAGATGGCTCTGCCACCACATTTTGTCAAAGGTCTTGCTCTCTTGTCTTGTCACTCGCCTTGTCTCACGTGGAAAAAATTAACACAAAATCATAAGAGGAAGTTATTAAATTCTGAATGAAAAGAAAGTCACGCTAAATATCATGCCCAGGAACTGCAGAGATGCCTTCTGTCCCACTGAAACCTCCTGAGCTACAGATGGTGAAGGACTTACAACAGAAAAACAGTAGAGTAACTGTGACAGAGTCTGAAAATGATCCATTACCGTAATGAATTCGATTGGAATAGGCGCTGGAAGTTTGTCTTTGAAGCGCTGATTTATTTCTTTGACAATGAATACAACCAAGAGGACAATCAGACCTGTCACCAGGTCTGCAATATTAGTCTTCTCTATTTGTGTGAATATGGACTCTAGTACCTACAATTATAAAAACAAAAACCACCAAAACCCTATATTAATGCGTAATTTGGATACAACACATCTCCAAGCAAATAAAAATAAATATGGAAGCAAAAGGACTGACAGATACTGATAGCGATTTCCTGTTCTGCTCATGTTTAACTGTGAATGTGAAATTGTAGAAAGTAGCAATGGAGATATGAGAAGAGTAAGTTAGCATAGTGCAGGCGGCACACTAGTTTAAGGATGCTTTTGCCATTTTCACTGAGACTGTCTTTGGCTAGTGTCAAATTTTGTTGGATATTTTTCACATTTTTACAACTGGTCTCCTGCCCTTAGGTCTCTTTAGTCATCATTTTTTATTTCACAGCCATCAGTATTCTGTCCAGGGAGTAATTTCTGATCTTTGATAGTTTTGCTTACCATGCTCAATTCCTGGCCTTTACTTTTGGGTTTAGACCCCCTCGCATTTCTTAGCTGACTCTCTATGTCACTTTTGGGAAATAGTTTTCTGGCTAACTGTGCACTATGCATGGTCTTACGTCTTGAAGCTGGTTGGGTTCCATATTCACGTACCCAGAAAAGCTCAAGCAGGCCAAAACTGGATCCCAAATTGCTTCTAGAACACTCCATTTCTGGAATACCTCTGGATGGAGCTAAGAGAGTATTGGTTCCAATGTGGAGCAAGCTCTGTCTTAACGTTCAAAGACTGTTGGGAGTTCTTAAAAATCAAATACATCTACCATCCAGCTAATGTCAACAACAAAAATTAAGTAACACTTCTTTTATATTTGACTCAAGTATTCCCCCCCCCCCAAAAAATCTGTTATTAAAAGCTTTACCATTTTGTCCCAAATTTTAAAACTAAGAATACTATCTGTTCTTTGCATCCTCTGGAGGAGAGGAGAACTGCTGCCCTATCTACATATCAGTCAATTTTCTTTTGTTTTCTAAACAGGATGCAAAAAATACCCAAGAACTTCAATTATAAAGAATGAGTCCTGTTTGCTCAGAAATAGGAAAACATCATAATTCAATTAACAAAGTTCTTTTCAAAATAAGATTTTAGGAAACATTTTTAAACTTGGGACAAAATGATAAAGGTTTTAAAACATAGATTTTTGGCGGGGGTAGAAAATACTTGAGTCAAGTCTAAGAAAAGTATTACTTAATTTGTTGTTAACATTAGCTGGATGGTAGACGTGGTTGGTTTTCAGTATAGTTCTCTTGCTTTTTCTTTTCTTTTTTTGTGAGACCGAGTCTCTCTCTGTTGCCCAGGCTGGAGTGCAGTGGTATAATCAGAGCTCACTGTGCCTCTAACTCTTGGCCAAGGGAACCTCTGCCTCAGCCTCCCAAGAATCTGGGACTACAGACATGTGCCAGCATGCCCAGCTAATTATTTTATTTTTTGTAAAGGCAGGGTTTCACTTTATTACACAGGCTGGTCTTGAACTCCTGGGCTCAAGTGATCCTCCTGCCTCAGGCTCCCAAAATGCTGGGATTACAGGTATGAGCCATTATGCCTGGCTTTACTTTTTAAATAATATGAATAAATTTTCCAACCTGTAGGTAAACCCCATGGCGAGGCATTAAAGGAAAGCTCTCCAGAGCACAGCAGTGTTTCACATATTTCAGTATTTTTCAAATGCAAGAAATACTTACTTTGAAAATTGAAAATGGATCAGTGTGTGATGGGACTTGCAGCTGAAGGATGAATTTGAGCTGGGAAACCAAAACATGAACAGCGGCAGCAGTAGTGAAGCCACTGATGAGGGACTCAGATAAGTATATTACTACAAATCCGATCCGCAGAACCCCCAGGGCCAACTGGAATGAGAACAAAAGCCTTTGTTGGATCTTTGCCTCAGCAAACGCAAAGACCCACAACTTAAATAATATTGTACAAAATGTAAAGGCTGAACCTGTATGTATATGCCTTGAAGAAGCAAATGGCCCTGCCTCCTGGGATACCTCCCATCCAGGGCTCCTCCTTCTCCTTCCCTTCCACCCCATCCACCAGGCAGAACATTACGTGGTATTCACATAGGATATAAGTCTAGTTTGCCCCAAAGAAGTAACACGCTTATTCACCTACCCTTATTTTTAAGTGTGGTGTTTTTGATAGGCCTTTTCTAGCAGAATCTGACCTAGCATCAGCCCTCATAAATTTGCTGATGTAATTTTAAGTTATACTTTCTAGCTGCTGGAGCATGCACGAATAAGTGTCTATTCATATTTCCTCAAAGTTGCTCAACTTGCTTAAGAAATACATAATTGCATACTGGACATCAGAAGTGCTTCGTTCTAGCTGGGGAAAGGATGGTTAATCCCCCCTTAAAGCATCATTGTTTTGTAATAAGCAAATTGGGTGGTTTCTCCTTCCCTTGGATAATTGACCTGCCTTTCTGCTCATGTTTCCAGAATGCAGCCAGAGCTGTGGCTGCACAAAGCCCAATGGGTTCCATTTCTATACTAGATTCAGAAATGTATTAGAAAAACCTAATCAAACTGTCAATAAGACATCTGCTTATGTCCTTGTAGAAATCGGCTTTTTCTTTCTTTAAGAAATGGTCTTAACCAATAATATCATTATCCATAAACTTAGGCAACATCTCAAAAAGTCCATGACATTTTCCTGATTCAGCAGGGGTGTCAGCATACGGCTTGGGAGTGAGGCTTTAGACACCATCATAATCCTCTTCAGTTTTCCCCAAAATTGACATGAACAATGCCAAGCCCCTGTCCCTTCCGACTAGATTATAGTTGCTGAAGCGTTAAAGAAAAGATTCCAAAGCCACCAGTATGACGATTTCTTGCATACAGTTAGGTTTCTTGACTCTATCAATTCCCAGATACATGTTGAAGCATTTCACTTGTCACTGTTTGTGCCTCTCTATTCCCCTTCTTCCTGTCTAGACCCACATTCATTCATTTTTGTACCACTGACCCACTCCTCTCCCCCTGGCTGTGGTGAGTGACCCTTCTTACATTATTTCCTCTGGGCTGTGAGGAGGAACACAAACCAAAGGGAAGACAGGGAAAGGTGGCAGAGGGGAGAAAAAACAAAGGGAAGACAGGGAAAGGTGGCAGGGGGAGATGTGTACCAGTCAAGGCAAACAGATTGAAGTGGGCAAGTTACTTGAGAAGGTGCTCACCTGGATGATTCCAGAAAACAGTGAGACTGTTGCTGCCACCACCACCTTCCTGTCGTTCAGTAATGAATCATTGAGCCCATTACTCATTGAGCTGTTAGACAATTCCGGAGTAGTTATACTGGTATCTGGGACCATTCTTGAAACTGCTATTCCCACCATCGTACTCAGAATTGGAAACGGACCTAATTAACAGTGGGTGAATCATGGTCAGTATACGCCTCCCTAAAGCATATTGTCTTTCAACCACAGAATAAGAGCATATAAAATGACTGCCATCTGTGACCCTGCCTTCCTTCTCAAACCTGGTCCTAATTCTCACAGAAGACCATGATTCTTCTCCTGGATTATGTGCAATTTGGAATTGATACAATGTATGACCAATAAAATTCATAAAGAAAAACAATGTGAGCATTAATGAGCTCAGTAACTGACTTACCCACAGAGAGGTGTCTGGAAGTGCCGAAGAAAAGGTAGACTATGATTGGGAAAAAGGCTGCATACAACCCATGGACTGGGGGGATGGTGACCAGCAGAGCAAATGCTAAACCTGTAAATACACAAGCAGCAGGGTCCTTATTTTGTGCAAGAGGAATCAAAGACATTCTCATTTCGTTCTTAAGGTATTTAGGATTGGAACCTAAAAATAAGTTGCCTCATTAATTCAAAATGTATTAAAGATGTAAACATAAGAACTAAAACTATAAAACTCTTAGAAGAAAGCATAGGCATAAATCTTTGTGACCTTGGATTTGTCAATGGTTTCTTAGAAATGACACCTGTGGGCCGGGCGCGGTGGCTCACGCCTATAATCCTAGCACTTTGGGAGGCTGAGGTGGGTGGATCATGAGGTCAAGAGATCGAGACCATCCTGGTCAACAAGGTGAAACCCCGTCTCTACTAAAAATACAAAAATTAGCTGGGCATGGTAGTGTACGCCTGTAGTCCCAGCTACTTGGGAGGCTGAGGCAGGAGAATTGCTTGAACCCAGAAGGCGGAGGTGGGGTGAGCTGAGATTGTGCCATTGCACTCCAGTCTGGGTAACAACAGCGAAACTCTGTCTCAAAAAAAAAAAAAAAAAAAGAAAGAAATGACACCTGTGGCATAAACCAGTGGTCCCTAACCTTTTTGTCACGAGAGACTAATTTGGTGGAAGATAACTTTTCCACTGACCAGGGAAGGAGAGATGTTTTGGGAATGATTCAAGTGTATTACGTTTTTTGTGTACTTTATTTCTATTATTATTATACTGGAATATATAATAGAATAATTATACAACTCACCATAATGTAGAATCAGTGGGAGCCCTGAGCATGTTTTCCTGCAACTAGATGGTCCCAACTGGAGGTGATGGGTGACAGTGACAAATCATCAGATATTAGATTCTCATAAGGAGCACACAACCTAGATCCCTTGCATGCACAGTTCACGACAGGTTTTGCACTCCTATGAGAATCGAATGTTGCCCCTGATCTGACAGGATGTGGAGCTCAGGTGGTAATGAGAGCAATGAGGAGTGGCTGTAAATATAGATGAAGCTTCACTTGCTCACCTGCCACTCACCTCCTGCTGTATGGCCCAGTTCCTAACAGGCCACGGACCTGTACTGGTCCATGGCCTGGGGATTGGAGACCCCTGGAATAAGCAACCAATGAAAAAACAGATACATTGGACTTTTACAATTAAAAAATGTGGACTTCAAAGGCTACTATCAAGAAAGTTAACCAATAATTCAAAGAATGAAAAAGTTATTTGCAAATTGTATATCTGACAAGGGTCTGGCATCCAGAATATATAAGCAACCCTTGCAAGTCCACAACAAAAAACAAATAATTCAATTTAAAAATGGGTAAAAAATTTGAATAGACATTTTTCAAAAGATATACAAATGGCCCATAAGCACATGAAAAAAATACTCAATATTGTCAGTCATTAGAGAAATACAAATGAAAACCACAATGAGATACCACTTCGCACTCACTGAGATAGCTAAAAGAAAAAAGAGGGACAATAACAAGTGTTGATGATGTGGAGACATTTGAACCCTCATATACTGCTAGTGAAAATTTAAAATGGTGTAGCTACCTTAGAAAATAAGTTAGCAGTTCCACAAATGATTAAATATAGAGTTACCATATGATCCAGTGATTACATTCCTAGTGATATACCCAAGAAAACTGAAGCATGTTCACACAAAAATTTGTACACAAATGTCCAAACTACCATTACTCTAACTCGTTATAGCCCCCAAGTGGAAACAACTCAAATGTTCATCAGCTGATGAGTGGATTAAAAAGGACATGTCCATACAATAGAATACTTATTTGTCCATAAAATGGAATGAAGTACCAATACATGCTACGATATGGATCAACCTTGAAAACATTACAGTGAATGAAAGGAACCAGATACAAAGTGCCATGTATTGCATGGTTTCATTCATGTGAAATATCCAGAATAGGCAAATCCATAGAGAAAGGGTAGAGAGGGGGATGTGAAGTTAATGGGTAAGAGAGTTTTAGGGGGTGGTGGTGGTGAAAATGTTCTGGAATTAGTGGTGACAGATGCACAACCTAGTGAATATATGGAAAGCCCCTGAGTTGTACACATTCAAAGGATAAATGTTATGGTATATGAATTATATTGAAAAAAAAAGTTACCTTGTAGTACGGACACCATCCCTGTACTGATACCAGAAACGATGTCACTGAGTAACCATTCCTTAAACCGGTATGCTGGCAACCAAGATGCTATGGGGAGCAAAGAGAGGACAATTCTCTTGGCCTTTTGTGTAGAACAGCTGAAAACATGCAAAGCCACAGGTCAGTCAATTAATATCAAACATTAAATTTAGTACCTAACTGTAGGTGGGAAATTGGTAAAGATAGTAATATGCTAAAGATTAAACTAGTAATTTCACTCCCAGTAATATTCTTTACCCATAGTCAGCTGCCCTCTGGTCACCAACAAAGGATTTTAAAAAATGCCTGCTTTTCTTTAACCATAATAGAGCTTATTTGTCCTCCTCAGCTTGAATCATGCAATATTTCAAAGGAGAATTTGCCTCTGTCCCATCTGTTAGTTGTCTGATTTGGAAAGACTGTGTTGATAAGCTGAGGTGGGGTTCATTTTAAACACTACCTTTCCAACTCTGAGAGGGAGTAGGAGGTTTGGGAACCAAAGAGGAAAGGACCGTAGGCTGTGGAATAGAGCCAGAAAGGAGAGTTGGAAAGTGAAAAAATTTACATGAAAGTGCTTCAAAAATATATTCCTAATGCCAATATCTTAAAAAATATCTTACCTACAACACACCTTGAGATGATCCAGAAATGTCTTATGAGGTCTGTCTCTCTTTTTATGTTCTTCCTCAAAAGCATTTGTAGAATACACTGGTCTGGCCACAATATACTGATTCCCAAAGGGTTCAATCATTTTGATTCTTCTGTTGGCTCTGGCAAGTTGAAGACCTTTGGAAATATGTGGTGAACACTTCTTCTTGCCTTAGCAGTTTAAAATGCCTGAAACCAAACAGAGTTTGCTTCTTAAATAACTCAGAGATAATGCGATGCAATTTACAGATGAGTGAGCTCTGAACGGAATGTTACCACCTTTTCAGATCAAAAAAGGCAGGATTAAGGGACCTAGATTGTGTTTTGTGACAGCGATATTTTATTCCAGCGAACGGGACATGGCTTTTTTAGGTAGGTAAACAAGAGCTTTTATTTATTTATTTTTTTAATCTGCCACAAAGTAACAAAATTGACTGAATTTATGAATCACTGAGTCAATTTTTTTACTTGCAAAGCAAGATCCTCTCATCTTTTTTTCCAAGAAATGTTTCCAAAGTTAAGGTATTGGAGTATTCAGACGGATTAGATTTAAAATCTATTTATTGCCCCTAACTCCAGTCCAGGCTGTTCCAATTTACCCATCAGAATTTTAAAATTTGATTTTTTTACCTTGTAAAATTGAAAATTTGTGTAATTCAAAGGTATTATCTATTTCAGTTATTTCCTTATTGTTTCTGGGAGTTAGAGTTTTACAGTTTATAGTTAAGGAAACTATGGAACAAACTAGATATTATTAGGTTACTTCATTCATGAGTGATAAGGTCTTTTTAAAGGAATGATTGTGGGCAAGTTACTTAACGTCTCTGAGCCTTGCCTGCATAATGGGGATAAAGATATTCAAGTTTCTGGTGACTGTGAAGATTAAACAAGGTGTCCAAAACATCTAGCGTAAGTCTAACACACTGTAGGCATTCACTAAAGGGTAGTTATTATTTTAATTGTTAGCATTTTCTACACAAGATGTTTAAGCTTTTTATTTTTATCTCAATCCTGTTTCTATTATACTTAAAAATCAATTTTACAAAAATTTTAAATGCACATTACCAAGTTAGCCTTCACAATTTTTTGAGGCAGTTACTCTTATTATTTTATTATTATTATTTTCTTCTTACAACTGAGAAGATAATCACACACACCCTGAACCCACACTAAAATAGAAATGCTTTTTCTTGGGACATACAGCTTGTAAAACAGTAAAAATGGTACCTGCATTTTCAGACTCCTTTGCTATCTTTTCTATGTCATGCAACTTCTCTATTATTCAATATAAACATTATTGAAGAACATTCCAAGTAACTTCTAGCATTTTTCCCTCTAATCTTGGTTCTGTATTACTACTCATAATGCCCAAGTTTTGTTCCTTGCTGAGTGTATGATTGACTATATTGTTTGCTGAGAGTGACAGCAAGGAAAACTGAGCTGGCTCCCCAAGTAGAAAACCGCTCAGGGTATTCTAAAGTAGTAAACAGTATTTGTATATCATACACCAGTTAAACTAGTTCTTTAAGCACAGGATATGTGACCCTGCCCCCAGTGGCTCCCTAGTGGAGAATTCTTTCTAGTTCGTCTTTGATCAGTGGTAAGCAGGCACCAGGTGCCTGCCTAGTTTATTTTTATTCTATGAGAAAACCCAGACTATCTGGTCGTTAATAATAATCACCTGTTCAGAGTCCCCTTGAGATGCTCAGCTCTGAAGGCTGTTAGCCCCCTGAGGCTCTAAGCTGGGAAGGCTGTCAGCCCCTGAGGTGCTCAGCTCCGAAGGCTGTTAGCCCCCTGATGTTTCATTTTGCTGTTCTTTGTTTCTTAATTCCTTCAGCGCTGCCTGGGTGGGGGTCTCCACAACCGAGCTGGTCTTGGTAGTTCCTCCACTTCAATCACAGTGATTAATAGAATTATCTCACACTAAATTGTATCTTGTTACACCATGGCCTCATATACCTTATGGGATTTTAGGCATGTTTGTACTGCTCAAGTTATAGCCAGGAATCAGATGCTGGCCTCTACTGCTGGCCCTACTTGACTTCTCTTTCATCACTGATTTTTCTTTCCCACCCTATTTCCTAGCCTCCTCTAAAGTCCTCTGTGCTGACTTCTGACCACAGTGTACTGCACCCCAAATCTCTGGCTTGACCTTCAGAATTTGAGTTTCTTTGAGCTTAGTTATGACTTCTTTATTATTGTTATTAGTAGAGACAGGATTTCACTGTCACTTGGGGTAGAGTATAGTGGTGCAATCATAGCTCACTATGGCCTCTTAACTCCTAGGCTCAAGTGGTCCTCCTGTCTTCTGAGTAGCTGGGACTACAGGTGTGGACCACCATGCCTGGCTAATTTTTAAAATATTTTAGTAGAGATGGGGATCTTCCATATGTTGCCCAGGCTGGCCTCAAACTCCTGGGCTTAAGCAATTCTTCTGCCTCAGCCTCCCAAGTAGCTGATTGGTGCACCACCAGGGCTTCGGTAATGACATTTAGATCCACCTTCGCTGTGCCTTCTGGGCCTCTCCTCCCCTGCCACTCTCAAGTGCTTGTTTTCTCTTTAGTTTCTATCCCCTCTTCCATCTCTTCACCCACACGTCAGAGGTCAAATCCCACCAACTAAATAGAACTTCCCATTGTCAGAAGAACTTGCTCACAAAGTGGAGATGACTTGCGCATTGTGGTACATAGCATAGATTTTTGTCTTTTTTTTGCTGATTACCAGCAACATGGTTGGAGCATTAATAATTAAGTTCTAATCTATGGTGCATCACTTATGACAATTGGATTTCTCACAAAGGTATCTGCTGTATCTTATAAGAGCAGCTTTAACCCTGTCAAGGATCCAACCTAGCCAACCTTAGGATGAAGAAGACTTCAGCACTATGTTTTTGTACTTCTGTCAGATGGTGCTATGAACGGGAAAAAAAGAAAGATTACTCTGTACTTGCTTTCCTCAAGGAGTTCACAGGAAGTTATTAGTCATCTTCACTAAAAAAGATCTTGAAGGTACTTATATTCTTCTGGCTGTTGTATGTTTTCTCTCTGCTAAGTTATAGTTTTTTTTTTTTTTTTGCTGATGACAGTGATGTGAGAAATATAACTTCATTTCTGATCAGCTTCTTCTCTGAGGATGGCTATGGCTGTCTCTTTAATGGGCTTTCTTATACCTACAGCTGGATCAGGAGTCTGAACTCTGGCTGGCCTGCCATTAAAAGCCTCCTCCTCCTCACACTCCAGCACTGCCTGCAAGGTGACTGCCTGCTCAGGGAAGGAATCAGGGAAGCTTAAGAAATCTTTCTGGATGGGTGTGGTGGCTCAAGCCTGTAATCCCAGCACTTTGGGAGGCCAAGGCGGGTGGATCACTTGAGGTCAGGAGTGTGAGACCAGCCTGACCAACATAGTGAAACCCCATCTCTACTAAAAATAAAAAAAAATTAGCCAGGCATGGTAGTGGGCACCTATATTCCCAGCTACTCAGGAGGCTGAGACAGGAGAATTGCTTGAACCTGGGAGGTGGAGGTTGCAGTGAGCTGAGATTGCGCCATGCACTCCAGCCTGGGTGACAGAGCAAGATTCCATCTCAAAAAAACAAGAAAAAAAAGAATTATTTCCAGACTTGAGGGCTGCATTCCAGCCTTTCTTTTTTCCCCTTGTACCCATCCCCACTTCCAAAAGCTATACATGTTACATACAATGCTGGCCTCTGAACCAACTACCCCAATGGAGCCTCTGCTGAAGAGATGTTCCAGATAGTCATAAATTAATGGCATTCTCCATGTCATCATTTCTGAGATTCTTGAGCATAACCTACTTTAATTAGGAATTCAAAAGAGATTTTCTTAACTTTTTTTTTCACCTGAACAAGTTATGTTTTCACCAGAAATTCTTGGAAAACACTTTTTTCTGGTTCCTGGAATTACAATTCCCATTTCAAATATTACGCCCATATTGATGTCTTTTGATGTTCTATTTTTCATGGATCTCTGGGTTTCTTAGGGGGTCAGTGGATTTGGAGGGATTGAAATTCATTCTCAGGGTCCCTTTCCCTTACTAATTTTAGAACTTCAAGCCTTATTTGTATATATTTCCACTTTCGTTTGCTTCCCTTTAATGTGCTTTTTATGATTTTGTTGACATATATACACATATATATTACATACACAGACACACACATAGACATCCATATACCCACATCCCTTGGTGCTGTGGCTTAGTCATACATATTGTTGTTCTCTGCTTTTTATTTTTTGGGCAGAAATTTAACCCTGGGATTAATTTCTGAAGTTCAATTTCTCAATTTAACTATTCCCTTTTATTAACAAGTTTTTGATATTTCTAGGGATTGTCATGTACATACCTCCCTACCCCTCCAAATTCTACCCATTTTCAACCTGCAGCCTGGCCTCCAGTTATGGGAACCTCCATCCTGCCTGCCCCACTCTGCTGACAAGTGTCTTAGGACCCTGACCTTTCCACTCAGTGTTTATCTATTCTGTGTTTTAGTCTTTCAGAGGTCTGCCCTTTTTGCTGGGAAACAACTAATTTGAACCAAGATGCTGATAAGCAATGCTAGTATTTGTCTTCAGTTAGTGATCGTTTGAAGCCAGCAGACGAGCAAGGGTGCAGAACACCTCCCAGCCCCTCTGCAGTCACATTAGATGCCTCCACTCTTAGACAAGGCAGCTCTCAGTAGCATCATCCCTCCATAGCTGTTCAGGCTGAGGAAGGCTTTCATAGAGGCATCACTGAAAATGCCATACTGTGCCTGAAATCTGCTGAAAACATGACTCACCTTGGGAATCTCAAAATATCCCTGAGCCAGTCAGTGGAAAACAACAGGTAAACCAGCCCTATTTCATGAATTAGTCCTTGGACAATGGGAAATACAGCAGTGTCCTGATAACTACTTGGGGGAGTGGGTGAGAGATGGAAGAACAAACAAAATAATTGCTCCAGTGAGCACCTTGAGAGGGGTCTCCATCAGCAGCCAGAGAGGAATCAGAAATCAAGCACACAAGAAGCTCCACATTCTGGTTAGTGTAAGGCTGGATGGAAGCAGGGAAATGATGGCATCAGAATGAGAGGGGACTGGAGTGGTGTTTGGAGGGGAGGGGTCTCAGCACGGAGGTTGGTAAAGAGAGCTCAGAAGGGGTCAGAAGCTGGGGTGGGAAATAATTGTTACTATTATTTTCCATCACTTCTATTACCACATTGTCCAAGACGCTGAAAAAGGAAGTCAAATCTAATTTAATTGGGAGGTACAACACAAAAGAGTGAGACTTGGCCAGGCACAGTAGCTCATGCCTGTAATTTCAGCACTGGGAGGCCGAGGCGGGCAGATCACGAGGTCGGGAGTTCAAGACCAGCCTGACCAACATGGTGAAACCCCATCTCTACTAAAAATGTAAAAATTAGCCACCTGTAATCCCAGCTACTCAGGAGGCTGAGGCCGGAGAATCACTTAAACTCGTGAGGCAGAGGTTGCAGTGAACTGAGATCACACCATTGCACTCCAGCCTGAGTGACAGAGTGAGACTCCATTTCAAAAAAAAAAAAGAGAGAGATTTAAAAAAAAGAAAGATAGAAAAGAGTAGACTTTGGCAACTAAGCAGACCAGGTTTCAAATCCTTGCCTCACCATATTTTAACTGTGTTTGCTATGAGCCAGTGATGCAAGCCTTTAATTTTCTTTTTTTTCCCTTTTCTTCTTCTTCTTCTTCTTTGTTTTGAGATGGAGTCTTGCTCTGTCTCCCAGGCTGGATGCTGGAGTGCAGTGGTGCAATCTTGGCTCACAGCACCCGCCACCTCCCAGGTTCAAGTGATTCTCCTGCTTTAGCCTCCTAGTAGCTGGGAATACAGGCACCCATCATCATGCCTGGCTAATTTTTTGTATTTTTAGTAGAGACATGGTTTTCTTGTGTTGGCCAGGCTGGTCTCGAACTCCTGGCCTCAAGTGATCCGCCTGCCTTGGTCTCTCAAAATGCTGGGATTACAGGTGTAAGCCTCTGCACCCAGCCCAACCCTTCAATATTCTAATGGCAAAAGGAGGAGGCCATTATTTTCCTTCTAGGGCTGTTCTCAAAACTGAGAGTATACAAAGGGAGACTTCTTAGCCTTAAGGTCATAGGTAACAGTCTCAGGAGTGAGCTTAATATTGACTAGACTGAATTTACAACTGGTTCACATGACAAAAGTCAGCTGGAACCTGTTGGAAAATGTTAGTGCTGCCAACTTTTCTATGACTTTATGTTTATCCTGAGCTTATCTTTAGAAGTAGCAGTTTTCCATTCTTATCCGTTTATTTTAACCTAGTTTTAAGATAATCTATCTATCTGAGCTTCCTAGAAGGGCATACAAGGCCCTTCCTGTTTTGGTTCTGGTCTATCTCGCAAGCTTCTTCATTCCTCCTTCACAATTGCAGCTGGTTCCTAACACATTGTGATATTTAACAGCTCTGTGTCTTTGTACACATGATTTCGTCTGTGTTCTTCTCCTCCAACACTTGGTAGATTCCAATTCATTCTTAAAAATACTCAGCACAGCTGGGCTCAGTGGCTCATGCCTGTAATCCTGGCACATTGGGAGGCTGAGGTGGGAGGATTGCTTAAGGCCAGGAGTTCAAGACCAGCCTGGCCAACATAAAGAGACCCTGTCTCTAAAAAACAACTCAGCTGACCATTAATTCATTTCTTCATTCCTTCAACAAACATGTATCAACCTATTGTTTGTAAGGAATTCAGTGTCTAACACAGTTGTAGAAGATAAGAAAATGATGGAAAGCCTTCTTGGTATCCCTAGACAGAGCTAAGCATTTCCTTCTTGTAAGTACCTTGTATATATGTCTATTCCATGTCATACAGTATGGTCATTATTTATGTTTCACTCCCCTTTAAGACTGAGTTTCCCAAGGGCCAGGCCCAAATCTTAACCATTTTTCCCCCTTTTGCATAGGTCCTATGACATAGTAAGTATAAAAGAAAGTTTGTTGAAATAAACTGAACTATGAGCAAATGACATATAAATGATATAGACATAACTCTAAAGCTTACATACACAGGAGAAGTGCCCAAAATAATTGGTGAAGGTAATAAATTGGAAGAAGGGAGGTAAATGTGGGTTAAAGTTAGGAAGGTTTTATGAAGGAACTGTGAGTCTTGGGTTAGACTTTAAAGAATAGTTAGGTTTGGCAGGGGTGATGACAAGCAAATCATGTCAGAAGATACTGAGAGATCCAAACACTGAAAGAGAAGGTTTTGTTGGCTCATAGGCTAAACCATTAGAGAAATGCTGGGATGCACCATAGCCAGGGGTTTCGCACCCAGTAGGCTCACAGAAGGTGAAAGAGAATCCCTGGCCATTTCTATATGGCTGTGAGATTTTCTGAGTACTTTCACTTTTCTTCCTTGAGTGTTACTGTGTGATGGAGGCAGAGAAGTTAGGCTGTATTATTGCCACTTTACAGATGAAGAAATGGAGATGAGAGAAGATAAATGATTTTCCCATACAGAGCCAGGATAAGAAGTTACATCTTGTGAATAACAGATGAGCACAAAAGCCCCACACTCCTACACTCAATATCCACAAACACAAAACATAAGCCTGGTGGCCTGGGGCCCAATCTCCTTGAGGTGATTTGGCTTATTCTCCCCCTTGCTTCTCAACAAAGTGACACAGAGGCTAGAGGAGGCTCTTCTTTTCTCTTTGGAGAGTCAAAGACCTTTATTGGAGAGAAGAGCTACAATGTATTATTATATATTTATTCTTGTCATTGAAAAATATTCATTCTCATTTTCTGAACGATTTTGTTTCTTAGTCAAATATGAACTATTTAGGAGCTTTTTATACAATAGTTCATTTCTTTATATGCTTACTTATTCCCTTATCCAGTAGGAGAAAACAAAGTATATGTTGTGTTAACCCATTTTACTTGTTTCTGAAATCAAATTAGTTGCTTCCTAATTTTTCATTAGGAATGATCTTTGGCCGGACGTGGTGGCTCACGCCTGTAATCCTAACACTTTGGGAGGCTGAGGCGGGTGGATCACCTGAGGTCAGGAGTTCGAGACCAGCCTGGCCAACATGGTGAAACCCCATCTCTACTAAAAATACAAACAGACCAGGTGCAGTGGCTTATGCCTGTAATCCCAGCACTTTGAGAGGCTGAGGTAGGTGGATCACCTGAGGTTGAGAGTTCAAGACCAGCCTGACCAACATGGTGACACATTGTGTCTACTAAAAATACAAAAATTAGCTGGGTGTAGTGGTGGGCACCTGTAATCCCAGCTACTTGGGAGGCTGAGGCAAGAGACGTGCTTGAACCTGAGAGGCAGAGGTTGCAGTGAGCTGAGATTGTGCCATTGCACTCTAGCCTGGTTGACAGAGAGAGACTCTGTCTCAAAAACAAAACAAACAAGCAAACAAACACAAATATAAACAAAATTAGCCAGGCACAATGGAGCGTGCCTGTAGTATCAGCTACTTGGGAGGCTGAGGCAGGAGAATCGCTTGAACCTGGGAGGCAGAGGTTACAGTGAGCCGAGAACCTGCCACTGAGCTTTGGCCTGGGTGACAGAGCAAGAATCCACCTTAGGAAAAAAGAATAATCTTTATGCAGCCAATTTCATGATACTGTTTTTCGAAATGACCAACTTACTTCAGAAAAGAGAATTATTTTGTCTAATGGTTTAATAAATTGTTCCTCACTTGCATATATAAAGAAAGTTGTATAATCTTTTCCTGACATTTTACAGAATAAAATAGATTTTATCTTGGTAGAGTTAGTAATGTGTGGAATAAGTACCCATACATTACTAAGTCTATTACATCATATTATGTTTATTATATTATATTTTCCTACTTGTGGCATAGGGCATGCTGCTACTTTGCAGGGACCATTTTTTCCCCATCTCCTTTCTTTCGATTCCTCTATCCATCTTACTCCCATTGCCTTTTCTCCTCTTCCCTTTCCCTTAGTCCAAGTCCGAGTCCTAGAAAGTCCAAGACTTTGTAGGGCACCTGGCAGATAAATCTCTCACTTCTAGACCAGATGCCCCCCACCATTTTTTTCTTTAAAAGACAAGGTCTTGCCATGTTGCCTAGGCTGACCTCAAACTCTTGGCCTAAGCTATCTTCCCGCCTTAGCCTCTTGAGTAGCTAGGACTATAGGTACATGCCCCTATGCCTGGCTAGGACCAGATGGCCTTTCTGAATCTGTTATACCAGGTGATTCTGTCTCCTGGAGAGACCCTTTACTTAAAGCTTGCTTTTTTTTGCCAGTGCTCAGAGCAGATGATCTATCTATAAAGTCAGATTTGGTTGGAGAATTAAGGGAATTATCTGAATAATTAAAGCAAGAACACTAAGATCTTTGAAAAGGCTGTTTAAGACTTAACGATGCCTACAATCATTTACTTGTTAAATTAAAGGCTACTTAAATATTTAATCCACATTGCTAGTGCTCACGACATATGTGCATAGCTTATTAGTGAATTAATTCAAAATATTCACACTCTTGGAAAAAACTCAAGAACATAATAATAACTTCTAAATTGGCTTTGATTAGAAAAAATACCATTTTCAAGGAACAGAAAACCAGTTTGAATATAACAATAATAAATTTGGTTCCTACCTGACAAATACTCATTGAGGAGCTTCAGCAACAGTGGTACATTTTCAAGATAAAGCTCTAAGTTCTAGTTCTAAGAGGCAGTGTCCATACACTCAGGTCTACAGGCTCTGCATGCATCCATATGCATAGGGATGTCTATATAAAGGATATGTAAGACAGTGGGCAAATTACCTTTCTGTCAGCTTTAATAATTAACTTTCATTAACTTTTACAACAATGAAAAGACTGCAATGTGGTCTTGACCTTTGAGACTTTGATCAGCAGAAGTGATGATGAAAATTGCTTTCTCAAGTTCCTTGTGAGATTAACCCACCCACTGCACTTGTGTGTATCTGAATTTCATTGGTTTGCAGAGATTTGCACGGAAGATGTGCACGTGGACTTAAAAATCTTCTCAAGGGTTATCTCCCTGACATTTTACCAACCAGTTTAGATGAGAGTTCAGTGGTGTTGTTTTTAGCTGGATGACTCCATGGAATGTCTCATGGGCTGCAAAAGAGTGGTGTATAGGTTAACTCCTGGTATGATAAAGGCCTTTATAAGGACACTCACACAACTCCTGGCCACAGGCCATATATGCATTCCAATGCTGTCCCCACCACAGCTCTTCCTAAGAGCAATAAACCTTATGTTGCTAACCACAATGAATACTTTCAACTCTCATCTTACTTAAAAGCATTTGGTCCTGCTGACTACTCTTTCATGAACTCTTCTTATTTTAAAAATTAATTAACTAATTAATTAATTTTAGAGATGAGGTATTGCTGTGGTCCCAGGCTCATCTCAAACTCCTGGCCTGAAGTGATTCTCCTGCTTTAACCTCCTGAATAGCCGGGATCACAGGCCTCAGCCAACATGCCGGGCTAAAATCTTCTCTTCCTAAAATGTTAAAACAAATTTTTAACACACTTGTTTTTTACCTCATCCTTTTGCCAATTTCTCCTCTAACTCTTTCTTTGGCATTTTCTAAGATTCTGTTATGAACTTCCTTCTCTCTTGCTACCCTCTCACCCTACATAAGAATTCCATGGTTCCCAGCAGTATTCAGATTCCTAACCCCAGCCCTCTTGGGTCCTCGTATTTAACTGCCTACTCCACATCTTTGCTTGGATGCCTCGTCGGCATCTCAAACACGACACATCCTGAGATTAAAACCTCTTGGTCTTTCCTCCCAGATCTGCTCCATCTCTAGTCTTCCCCATTTCAGTAAAGAATATTCCTCTTTACTCACGTCAGAGAGCTGGGAACCACCTCTGACACTTCCTCTTACAGACCTTTCCCCACCCGCAGCCAATCCATCCCTAAGTCCTATTGAGCATGCTTCCAAAATACATCCCAAAGCCATCGCTTTTCTTCATCTTCACTCTTATATCTTGCTGCACTTCTTGCTTTCTCTCGCAGCCTTCCCGGTCTCTTTACCACTTATTAATCAGAATGATCTTTTCACGCTAGTCCTGTTTGTGGGGCTGATGATTACAGGGAGGATAACAGGCCTCCAAAACCTTTGCGTGATCTCCCCCTGCGCAACTCTCTGACTTCATCTGGCCCTGCTCTTACTTTTGTTTTCTCCACTCCTTCCATAGTGGCTTCTTGTAGTCCCTGAATTTGCCAGCTCTTTGCAGACATCATTTCTTCTGCTTAAATGCACTTCTCCCTCCCTCTCCATTTGGCTGTTACTTAGCTTCAACATCACTTTCTCAAAGAGAACCCCTTTGACTTCCTAATCTCAGTTAGCCACTCTTGTGGCATTCTCTCATGGTATTTTTTTCAGTTTCTTGGTTAATTTGCATGTACTTTTTAAAACACAGCATTATAATTAAAAAAATACGCAATTATTTACTTAGCTAATGTTTGGCTCCCTCACTAGAGTGAAAGCCCCATGCAGGCAGGGACTTTGGTGAATTCACTACTGTATGCCCAATACCTAGAATGAATCTACCACAGAACAATGACTCAATAAATAGTGGTTTAATGACAGTTCAGTCAGTGAATTATGTTTGATGTCAGACAGTTCCAAAAGAACTGCGGACAGGTCACTGGTGCTTGTTAGAAATTAACCAAACCTGTGTTTTTAAATCCGGCTCACATCTGTGCTTACTGTGTAATTGAATGAGCTGTGGTGTCACTTATCATGCTTTTATCAATATTAGCTAACTTTAATTAATGTTTACTATGAACTAGGAACTTGACAATGTATTTTATTGAGTTTATCCCGTTTAATACTTATAACAACCATATATAGCTTAGTATTTTTATTCCTATTTTACAAATGAATATACTGAGATTTCATTTGTGGTAAAATCTCAACTTTTAATTTTTATTGGTTTTCATTGAAGCCAGTTAGAATCCAGAAAGCCTAACTTTGTCATGTCTTTAACTATTATATATTACTGCTTTTTATTATTTTAACACATGTACAGCACATTTACTCAGAACCAATATGCATTGATTAAATTTTGTATTTAGGTTTGATTGATAAAAGAACCGGAAAATATTGCACTTAAAAGTAGAGGCTCAGAATTATTGATCAGCGTAAAAATGATTTATTTTAGAAGAAATAAGAGAGTTTTGCAAGATTAATGGATACAAGCTGAACAAAGGCAAAATATTACACTATATAAATTACATAGCATATAGCCTTCCTGTATACTAATAATGACCATGTAGTAAATGTAATAAAAAGAAAGATATCATCACCTCTGCCTCCTGGGTTCATGCGATTCTCCTGCCTCAGCCTCCTGAGTAGCTGAGATTGCAGGTGTGCACCACCACACCTGGCTAATTTTTGTATTTTCAGTAGAGACGGGGTTTCACCATGTTGATTCAGGCTGGTCTCAAACACCTGACCTCGTGATCCGCCTGCCTTGACCTCCCAAAATGTTGGGATTACACAGTGGCATAAGCCACTGTGCCTGGCTGGAATAAATCTTATCTAAAGATACATAATGATAATGATGAACTTTATAGAGAGAATTGCAAAACATTATTAAAGGATAAAAATAAAACCTAAGAAAAATATAAAGCCATAAATCTTCATAAATGTAAAAGTTCAATGTCATATAGATGTTTTCTTCAAATTAATCTATTAGTTAATACCATTGCAATTAACATCTAAAACTTTTTCTTTTTTTTTTCCCATAGAACTGGACAAACTTGTCCTAAAACTTTTATGGAAATACAAAGGGCCAAGAAAAGTCAAGACAATTTTTTAAATTGGTGCATAATAGTTGTACATATTTGTGGGATATATATAATATTTTGATATATGCATGCAATGTGTAATGATCAAATCAGGGTAATAATGATATCTATTACCTCAAATATTTATCATTTTTCTGTGTTGGGAACATTCCAAATCTTCTCTTGTAGCCATTCTGAACTATACAATAATTTACTGTTAACTACAGCCACCCCACCATGTTATCAAACACCAGAACTTATCCCTTCTATCTAACCATATGTTCGCACCCATTAACCAACAGCTCTCCATCCCCCATCCCTGCTACTTTTCCCAGCCTCTGGGTAGCCATCATTCTACTTTCTCCATGAGATCCACTTTTGGGTTAAGGGCCCATCCCACTCTCTAGTATAACTTCATCTTTACTAATTATATCTGCAATGACCCTATTTCCAAAAAGGCTTTCTGAGGTACTGGGGATTAGGACCTCATCATATTTTTCGGGGCAACACAATTCAATCTATAACAAGGTATAATTTACATGCAGTGATATATAGATATTGAATGTACTTTTTGATGAGTTTCGACAAATGCATATACCTGTGTGTGTTAGTTCTCTATTGATTATGTAACAAATTATCACAAATGCAATAATTTAAAACAACATAGATTTATTATCTTACACTTCTGTAGGTCCGAAGGTTGACATGGATCTCACTTGACTAAAATCAAGGTGTTGACAGGGCTGTGTTCCTTTCTGGGGGGTCTGAAGGAGAATGTATTTCCTTGTCTTTTCTAATTTCTAGAGACCACCCACATTCCTTGGCTCATGGCCTCTTCCTTCATCTTCAACACTAGCAATATATCTTTCTGCCCTTCTTTTCTGATACCATTTTCTCTTTCCGCCCACGGCCAGGGACGAGGTCTCTACTTTTAAGGGCTCATATGGTTGGATTGGACCCACCCAGATAATCTCCCCACCTCCAAGTCCTTAACTTTATCATGTCTGCAAATTCCTTTTTGCCATATAAGGTAGCATATTCCCAGGTTTGGAGTATAGGATGTGGTCATCTGTGGGGGCCATTAATCTGCCTACCACATCATTTAACACTCACCTCAAAAGTGGAGAATGTTCCCTCTCTGAAAATTTCTTCATGCTTCTTCTCAGTTCATCACAGCCAACTCCCAGAGGCAACTTCTGTTTTGATTTCTATCATCTTTTATGAATTTGGCCTATTCTAGAACTTCGTATAAATGGAACATACAGTACGTTTTCTTTTGTGCCTGGCTGCTATTCCACAGCACAATATTTTGGGAGTTCATCTATATTGTTATGTGTATTAGTTGCCCATTCTTTTTATTGTTGAATAGTATTCCATTAGTATGAATATGACAAACTCTGTTTATACAACCTCTAGTTAATGACATTTGGATTGTTTTCAATTTGGGGCTATTATAAACTTTCTTGTGAGAGTCTTCTGTGAACATATTTTTATTCTCTTGGGTCTTGGGAGGATTGCTGAGTCATGGAATAGAAATATGTTTAACTTTATATAAAACTGCCAAATAATTTTTGAGAAGTGGTTTTATCAATTTAAATTTCTACACTCTACATAAGAGATTTCCAGTTGCTCCTATCCTTGCCACCATTTAGCGCTATCAGTCTTTTCAGTTTTAGCCATTATGATGAGTGTTCATTTTATTTCTTTAAAAAAAAAAAGGCAAAAAACTTTTCCTCAAACAGCAAAATAAGGAATATCCTTTAAAATTTAGCCCAAGTTTCATGGAGTTAAATCTTTGGTAGTATATGTTACCAAACTACTTAAAGCCATTGTATAATTATGACTTAGAAGCACACTTAATAATTTAATATTTAAGGCTTAACACAACAAATTTATTGACTTACCTGTATGTTCTAGAAAACAGTTCTTTTTCTAGCTTGTCAC